CCCATCCCACAGAGTCTTTTTCCCATTCATCTCTGTGGTGTAGATCACCCAGCGGTGACGTCCTGTGTAAAAAAACAAAACAAACAAACACACTTGTCATTTACCAGAATAACAGTACTGTGTATCAGATATATGAAAACTCCTCTTTTTATATATGTATTAGTTATAGGAGCATACATGTATACTTGTACTTGTATACTAAACAGGAGTACTACAACAGAAATAAAGAAAATAATTCTTCGCAAAAATCTATAAAATCCTGTATTACTTCTACACACTCTTCACAAATCATCACAGATCATTTTGTTATTTTAACAAATTCTAATTTTTGGGACTTACCAAAGAAGTAGTTCTTGCTATCCTCATAGTATTTGTTCCCATATTTATCCACACCGACCAGAGCTCCTACTTTCACATCATTTGCTCTGTCGGCAGAAAAAAAAAATTATGGCTGGAGTGAACAAAAGATAAGGACTAAAATACAGTATTTCTTTTATTTTGTTACATTGAAAGTCAACGTTATTTATTAAATGGATTAACGCTATCAACCAAAAAAATAAAAAAATAAAAATCAAGCAGCCTCCCTTACATATAAGCATTTCTCAAATAAAAACCCACAGCTGTCAATAAAGTCCTTTGTTTACAACAACAACAATCTTATTCTTAAACTGAAAGCCGTCCAGGTGGCTATTGACAAAAAACAAAATTTGGTTGAGCTAAGAGCCAGATTTGTGAGTTAACAACACAATGACACATACATGGTCTTTCTTAAATAAACAGTTTGTGAATATCGTGATAAGGACGAAGAGTATTTCTCAAATGTCAACATGCTAGCTTAGCTGAAGGAATACAACCTTGTCACTTCTCAGTTCTCAGTTGATAAAAAACATTTAACTGCGGGTTTGACACTAATTTCACAAAAACAAAACTTATTTTCCTCCAACTGACCTGAAAAACTGCAGCATGAAACCACGGACTCCACCGTGACCTGTTAACTGTCCGAAAGCCCTTCGGACTATATTCACATACTCCGCCATCTTTGACGGAAGAATTAAGGAGACGAACAGCGCAACACAATATCAGAGCCGGAAGTTTATACCCACACCGGAAGGTTCCTCTTTTACCAAACTACAAATACATATTATTTAATAACGATATTGAATATCAATAGCATTCAAGTAAAGATGTAATAATTAGGCATTTATAAATTTATTAAGGCGTATTTGATTCATGTGTCAAAGTTAAAAAAATAATTTGATTGTATGCAGTTTTATCCATTAAAAATATACATTTGCATGAATGGTTAAATATTTATGAAGCGATTAAATCCCCCCCCCCCCTTTAATGTGACACAGTAAAGTAATTATGTCAGTCATATTACTCATTTTTTTATAGACTCATTTGTCACACTCACAGAAATCATTTCAAGTCCGGTTGAAGTTCGTCGCTATGTAGTGATTTTATTTTTTGTAATTATAGTTTATTTTATTGTCATTTGGTGAGTTGAAACAATTGTCAAGTCTTTATGACGTCACTAAGTTTATATTTGTTGTTATTTATTCCTTTCAAATCTTTTGCATTTTTCTAGTCTAGCTATTTTTAGGAGTTATTTTCTGGCTACAGAGAAATATTTTTAACAAAATATAATTATCAAACACCAGAGGGCACCAAAAACACAGATTTGACGTGTATTTACACATATATTTTATTCAAACTGTTTCCTGACAGTTCAGAAACAACATTTACAGGAGTCTCTAATGTTTATACACAAACATGAAAAAGCACCAGCTTTTGTATCATCCCACTTCCGTTTTGTTTCAACCAGGCTCCCGTAGGTTTAGGAAAACCTCTAATAACAGGTTATTTGTCAGCTTTTAAAGTGAGATGTAGGGTTTATTCAATGAGTAGTCATGGAAACATGATTATAAAAGTGTTTCCGTGTTGAAAAACAGAGCACCTTCATTATTGCAATCAAGATGTTTTTTTTAGTATTTCATCAGAAATTTAGTTCATGTATTTTTACCACAGTACTTCATCTTGATTAAAGTCTCCTGAAACAAACCCTGACTCCCCAAAACAGGCTGCAGCCTGTGCTTTAAAAATAAATCTTCCTATTTCATAAATACTTACTTTGCTATATTTAAAAAAAGGTCAATGTTGTTATTTTGTGTCCATATGCACAGTTTTATCCATTAACCATTTATGATGTGATTAAAAAACAGGTAAAAATGTAAAAATCTTTTACATTATTTCCAGTTTTTCCCTCCAGGACGATGCTGTTTTTAACCCCTTAATATGAATGTGTGGTCTTTTAGTGTAAAACTAAAAAATATATAGATTAAAATCTCTAAACCAGAGAGATTAAACTAAAGAGCTAAATATTCAGATTTTGTTTCACAGTAAAAAGCCTTCTCATATAAAACACATCAGCAACATTGTTAAACATCGTTAGGACCAAGAATCCAAGCATTTGAATATTTCCTGATAGATATGTGGTTTGTAGAGGTTCAGGTTTTTGTAAATGTGTACAGTAGTGCACAATTAAAATCTAAAAATTCTTCGTTTTCGTGTCATTTTTGCTGCATTACCTCTAGTCTGACTGAGAACTGATGTTTGTTTCGCTCAAACCAAAGTCAAAATATTTAAATAAACCATTTTATTTAGTGAGACTTCAGTTTACGGTTAATGTCTGTCTTGCGCTGGCTCTAAAGAACGGTTGATCAGCAGGGGGCGCAAACAGCTAAAGGATCCTGACCTGGCACACTTAGAAAAACTGTTGCTCAAAGCATTCAAGAATGGAGAAAGATTTTCGTTTGTTTTCTGCGTGTTTTTCTTTTTTACACTGTAGTGATTCCTTCACCCTTATACTAATCCCATCAATTCAACCCCCATCAGATCATCCCAGGGATTAAAACAGGCCCCCGACAACAGTTTGGTATCACTTTCACACTCAGGCTTCTGGACTTGACCTTTGACCCACAGACAAAACTCCTTACAACTTCTGACCTCAGCAACAGCTGCTGCTCCCTGTTTACAAAAACAGAATTCAGTCCTTAACAAGTAGCGGCCTCCTCTCTGCACACTGGGTGGCGCTCTGCACTTGTTTTTCTGTAGGGAATTAAGGGTCCTTTCCTGAGCTTGTGACCTACGTGGTTCCAGGCCTTCAGGTGGGGGTTGAAAAGTCGGTTCTGGAGCTGTGAGAATCAAAGATCATTCCTGTTCCAGAATCATCGCCTCCTGAAAGGCTTCGATCCATCTGAGCAGAAGAAAAGAAAGGAATTTTTTTTTTTTTAAAAAGAAACACAGATGTTTTCACAGTAACAGGAACTGTTACTGTGTTCTGCTTCAGGCTTTGTACTGATAACAAGAAAGTCACAAACCTCTGTGCAGTTGGGATGTCGTCAGCCTTGAAGATGTAAAAGAGCGTGTTCTTGTGGTACAGTTTGAACTGCAGCTTCTGAGCAGGACCGTTCTTCTCTTCCCTGAGGAAGAAGCCCAGCAGAGGTTGACTCTCCAGAGCTGCGACATCCTGCACACACAGAAGAGCGGCTCAGAAACACTGGACGGAAAATAACGAAAACGAAGAGGAAAACTTTAGGGCGTGGAGATGAAGTCCAGTCATCAGTACCTCACTGGCAGCGTACGTGTACAGGACTTTATTCTTGATGACAAACCACAGCCTCTTCCACTGCTTCTTGTTGCCCTTTGACCTGTTCAGGTAACCACTCATGGAGGAGTTCTCTGTGTTTGCAGAAACCTGGCGAAAAAGAAGAGCATACTCACTCTCCAGTCTTTATAACACATCATAAATCAACAACTATTACTGATCCTTGCACATGTCCAGGAAAACAAGAAAGACATTTTTCCGTCAAGAAGATTTTCTGACCTCTTTTAGTGCAGCGGGAATCTTCTTCTGTTTCCTGGTGAAAGAAAAAGCTCCTGATTTGATTGGAGAAAGCGACGTGGAGGCGCAGCGGTCACCTGAGAACAAGAACAGGAACCAAAAATTCAACCAATTACACCCACACATGCATCACGTGTCTGCAGAATTATAATAATGAGAACTTGAGTTTTTTTGATCTCTTGAGTTTCCAGGCTTGACCAAACTACGGTCGGGGGCTGGATACAGTGCATTTGGCTTTTTAATCCGACCTGAGTCAAGAGTCAAATAAATTGCCAGTTCTAGACCAAAGTCCATAGAGAAAATCTGTGTTTTTAGCTCGCAGGGACAGATACGCTGCTGGTCCTCTGCTGCCTCCTGTGGTCACTTGGTGTCAGTGAGATAAATCTGAACTAAGGATTTTTAAGGTGAAGTAAAAAAAAATCACAATGTTGAATCCAGAGGTGGAAGCAGGAGTGAAAAGATGACTTCTGTGTGTGCTCATCTAAAACTGGGGAATGTTCCATGAGGTTCTGTGCAGAGAATGAACTCTTGACTTTCATGTTTCACTCACTGTTCTCCTGTAGTTTGGCAAAGCAGTGATCACACACACGTGCCGGCTGGTTCTTCAGGTACTCCAGGTAGTACTTGTTGGCAGAGCAGGCCTGACACACCACCTGTGGAACACGTGGTCACGTTAGGGGCCGGTAAGAAAACATGGACCAGGATGAGGTAGGGTCAAAGTGTGGTACCCACCCTCCCACAGGCTCTACAGTGATGCCTCCTCCACGTCAGCGTGAACTCACAGGTACAGATCATGCACATGGTAGCTCTCAGGTCCGGGATCCAGATGGGGGCCTTGGAGCCTAACGGAGGCCCGCTGTCAACATCAGTCTCCACCTGCTGAAGAAAAGCATAGTAGAATATTAAAGTCCAAGTCCTTTACTTTTGCTAATTTTCAGTATGAACTTTGGTGCAGGACATTTGCACGTTAAAGCTTGTCCCTGCCTGTCTTTGATGGTTATCAGCAGAGAAGGCCTCGAGCCCAGAACTGTTTAACAAAGATGATCCAGGCAGCAGGGTGTAATATTTAAAAATGATGTTCTCATAATGGTAACTATAATGGGCCAAAGCTGGCCTGCGGGCCTCATGTTGCCAAGCCCTTCATCAACAGGCCGTGTTGTTTTACCTCCTCCTGACTCCGACTTGATATGAAGGTGGTTTTCTTCTTGGTGTAGTCGTCTATGGCCTTGGCGATGGCCTCCAGCCACTCGTCTCTCTCTGTGGCCGAGCTGCAGAAAACAGAAAGAAAACAGGTCAGGCCCCACCGACACTGAAAATCAATCCATACGGTGGTAAACAAGAAAACAGGTCAGGCCCCACCAACACTGAAAATCAATCCATACGGTGGTAAAAATTGCGTCACAGACAGGAAGTGCTGACCTGGCAGACAGGATGAAGGAGCGTTCGATGCTTTCGATGTTCAGCTCGTTCTGATAGGCTTCCTGACTGGGTTTACTCACCTGGAAACAGAAGGATTTGAACACAACTTGAAGGTAAGAGAAGAAAAATCATTGTATGCTGCCCCTAGTGGACACAGAGGGAAACGGCTACAGCTGCTGATGTCAAATCTTTGTTTTCTTCTGTGGAGTTTGGTTTTGGTTCAAATATCATCCATTATTCTTTCAAGGAAATAAAATATCAAGACATTTGGAATTATGTTACAAAAAGAAGTGATGATTCTTCACCGACCTTCATCCCAGCCAGAGAGAGAACACAGTTGAGTTTATACTGAGCCGACTGGACTGGAGTGGTGTACATCAGAGCGTCGTTGAACTGCACAAAACCGAGAAAAAAAAAAATACACGACAGTCGTCAGACCTCTGGAGAAAACACGGAGAAAAACGTGATTTCATTTCGGTGAAAGTCTCACCAGAAAGAACACGCGTGGCTGCATGACCTTCCTGGACAGCTTCATCAGAGTGCCCTCCTTCAGGAACACCTGTGAAGACAAACAGTTTTGTTTGTCTTTTTTAGATCAAATCCATTGTTGATAAAACATTTCCGATGCTCCGTTGAACCTCCTGAACTCACTCTGCCGGGCTGGACGATCTCGTGGTGACCGTTCAGACTGTACTGAATCTGCATCAGCTTCTGGAAGTTGTCCTGAAAAAAAAAACAAACCCCTCCAAGGTCAGACCCCTGAGACACTGATGATATCAGGCTCTGGACTTTGAATGGTGACCCAATCTCACCCCTTGTTTCATGATGTCGTTGGCGTGGTTGGCCACTTCCTTCACGATGCTGAGGGCAGCTGTTTTAGGAGACGAGGAGAAGTTAAACGTTTCGTTCTTATGACAAACATTACACACAATAATGTCGAGAGTCTGGTCTGATGGATTTACCTTGTGTGTCCTTATAATCCTCCGAGTCTTCTGGAAGGTTCTTCAGATAATCTGGAGAAAAACAAGAGATTTTAACCATGCACAAACCAGACCAGAGCAGAGAGATCAGAGATACAGTTCTCAGGTGATTAACTGATTGATGACATGTGGACCAAAATGTGGGATGCGGCCCACTTTTGACTGCATTGTGAAACTAGTCTAGGACTTGAAATGACCAGATAAGACCAGGTGAAATAGGATGTTATATAACAAGATACGACGGGATGAGACCAAAAAAGGACGAAAAACAAGATAAAAGATATAAGATCAGAGACAAGACCAGGGTCAGATACAGTACAGATAAAACCGCAGGTAAAGTGACTGAGACCACACATGATGAGATGAAACCAGAGAAGAGGGGGAAATCAAACAGGAGATAAGACCAGATTAGACGAGCTAAGACAGGAGAGGTCCAGATGAGACGAAGCAAGAATAGATATAAAAGGACAGAGAATTCAAGAGTAAAGAAAACAAACTGGGTTGCCAAGTTACACCAAAAAAAAAGGTAGAACAGACCGAATCAAAATAAAGCAATGAAAGCAAAACTAAACTAGTTTAATTTAACTGCAATTACAACAAAATCAAATCATAATAAAAAAGAGTTAAAGGGTTAAAAGGTCAAAACAAGACACTTAAGTTAAAGGATAATTTAATGTATTTGATTTTTATTTTAATGTAACCTTTGTGTTTTGGTGGACGCATTCATCCACTAGGTGTCAGTATTTTACCAAAACTATGAAGCAGGCCAGACCATATGGACCCCAAATGGTCAGTAAATATGAATTGATAAAAGTCTTAAACTTGAGTGCAGTGAGTTTGAAAGAGACAGAGCAGAAACAGGAGTTTGTTGTTGTTGTTGTTGTTGTTGTTGTTGTTGTTGTTGTTCGTGGTGCGTTCAGACCTGTGAGCAGCAGTTGGTACTGAGGAATCCTCTGAACTGGTTTTAGCAGGTAGTGTTTCAAAGCCAGACTGGCACACCTGGGACTCATCTGAGAGCAAAACACACACACACACACACACACACAGACAAAAGCAGTGAAGATCTGAACAACCCAGGCTCAGAAGAGCGACAGATGTTTCTGCTTTAAAGCTGCAGATAAATTATCTACAGTATCTTTGGCTGTGGGTTCTGTGGAGGTTTGAAAGTGATTCTTTTTAAGGTTTTTGAAATGATAGACTAGCTAACGATATCAGGTCTGATTAAAGTCCACATCTGTTTGACTTTGCATTTCACCTCTTAGACATGGTTTTCCTCCTGCACCAATGTCCTTTGACAAAAATTAGAAATGTAATCTCACAAAGAGTCATGGGTTATGTTGAATTAAAGCTAAGTTTGCTGAGAGATGTGTTATAATGAAAAATATATGCTGACGTTTTTACACATTTAACTCAAAAAATAACACAGAGGAACTCAGGGATTCCTGTAATAGGGAATGCAAACCCTGTAAAAAGTGATGATAAAACGCTTAATTCTCAATAGGACTTGGCACAGATAAGGGAGTAGGGAAACAGCGTAAACTCTACCTCAAATTCTCGGACCACAGCAGCGAACGCTGGGTTTTTCCTGCACTGTTCGTCCAACAGAGCGACGTTGTTGTCAAACTGTCGGATGTAGGTGGAGTACATTTTCAGGTACGGACCCTTCTGGACAAAGATGTCCGACAGTCTCTGGTGATCACTCCTATGACCGCACCAACAGACCAACAGCAGGAATCAGTCAACCAGCTCGTTCCCTCTAAGTACATGTACAGTATGTGTATAAATGTATGTATGTTAATACCAGTGAGCCACTCTCTCCTCCAGCTCCCTCTGCAGGTCTCTGTTCAGTTGGTACAGCTGTGGTAAATAATACAGGATCTGGTTCAGGATCCTCTCGTCCACCACCGGTTTCCCATTCTGACGCGTCGCCTTGGCAACAGCATCTCGGAAATCCTAAAGACACACACTGTGTTAGCACTGACAAACACTCACTCACAGACAACGATAACGAAGGTAACGAGGACAGGTATGTGAATAAAGCTTAATAGGAAGAAAAACTAACTCCAGATTTCAGTTAGCTTAGGATTAGCTTTCTAAGCTAATTTTTAGATGCGGTTCAATTGATAGTAGTTAACATTTCAAGTAAGTGAAACGTTAACTACTTCCAATCTGACTTCTAGATAAATAAGATAATTTGTGTTATTTTTGGCAAAACGTTTAACTCCCTTTGGCTAACCTCCAGCTTGTTTTATGCTAATTTTTGTTAGCTTTCTGTTTTTGTCATGCTTTTACACGTTTTTATGCTAACTTTTAGTATTTTTGTCATGCTTAAGCTAATAGTCTTGTGGCATTTACACGTTTTTATGCTAACTTTTAGTTTAACTACTGCAAACTACAGAGGAACTCGCTTGCTTTTGTCTTCTTATTTCTTAGCTTTTGTGGCTAATGTTTTAGCTTTTTTTTACATTGTTATATATGAGCTTTTTCTGTCGTAAACCAAGTAAATTGCTAAGAATTTCAGGGGCAAATACAGACATTCCTACAATGTCCTCACTATAAAAAAAATCATGGTGACAACAGACCACGCACCCCCCCACCCTCGAGTCAGCACTCTTCTGAGCCAACACATACATCCACCTGGAAGGAAACGGGGGAGGAGGGGGGCACACAAATCCAAATGTCCTTGTTAAACACACACACATACACACATTGCATTTATGTAGAACCAGGACGGCAACAACAAAACAAATTACCCACAACCTCATGTGTTCAGAGGAGGATTCACCACCAACCCCAGGAAACACAAAAGGTTGAAAATAGAAACAGAATAAATAGAAAATGTTTGTTCTTGTCACACAAAAAGAACAACAAGACCTTTGTGCGTTTACTTTACTGCACACTGACCCAACGACGCGACAAATAAATCACCTCAGATCTCACACGGCAACATCATGAACCAGAAACAGGATTGAACATTTCAAAAAGAGATGACAAACACACAGCGTCTGGATTTGGAGCTGTAATGTTTGCACAACCCACGCTCCCACCTGCACACACACACACACAGAGGATTATGTGAGACAAGTGTGTGTGCCTGGATGTCGGCTGCGCGGCCCGAGGAAGCAGCTGCCGCTCCGAGCTGAGCCGTGAGAGGCCAGAGAAGAATGTGATCCGACCCCGTTTCTTGGACGGCGCTCTGCCGCCTCATCTCACCCTCTCACCCTCTGACACCACCCCCACACCTCTCTCCTCCATCAGCCACGGAACCAGGAAGTTTTTCCATTAATCCTGCCCCGCTTTCTTTTCAAAGTCACGTCTGAAGCAGAGAAACAGGTGGACCTTCCCTGACCAACCCCCCGACCTCTGAGTTTGGTCGAGTGTTGGGAAACATGAACCCACTCTGCTGGGATTCCCCTCAAAACCAGATCTTAAACAGACTGTGACTTTTCAGTGTCTGCACAAACCAAAACACAGATATAAAAATAGTTCAAGTTAAAACCAAGATAATACACAGTTTGTTGAGAGAAGTTAACAGAAATGAAATGACTCTTTGAGAGACATCCAAACATGCCCCCCCAAATATTTTTAGCGAAATTACCAAAGGTTTGCCATGCAATGAATTTAAGAACTGAAAAAGGCCTTTTGCAAAAGCATTGACTAAAAGTAGCAGAAGATGGTTAAATACTTCTCAAAAATAGGTACAAATTAGCTGAATGAATGTAGCAAAAACAGAGCTGAATCAGAACCATTAGGCACAATAACGCAGATACAAATGTCTAAAGCAGGGGTGTCAAACAGACGGCTTACGGGCCAAAACCGGCCCACACGGGTATCAATATGGCCCAATTGATGAATGTTAAAAGTAAAAAAAAAAAGCATAAGCAAAAGCAAAGCCACGACTACAATAAAGTTAAATAAAAGTTCTCAAAAACAAAATCCGTACCCTCACTTCAACAACTGAACTAACGTGGCACAGCTAAATGTTAACAAAAAGGGACTCAATCACAACCCAGAATTAGCTCAACGTTATTAGCAAAGATATTTAACCTAATATTTTAGAGAGGTCAACAGATAGCTAAAGGTTTAAGAAACTTTAGCAAAACTGGATTAAATGTTGCTAAACACACCAATATATACTACCATTGAATGTAAATAGAGTGATAAATAGTATAGTTACTGTACAGTACAGTTATATTGTAAGAAATATGTATATTTAATGACTATTAAGGTTTCATTTGTAGCCAACAATAATTTATTTCAGCAGAAAAATTAAACAAATGGCAAAAGTTCACAATAACTCCAACAATGTACTCACGATGTGGAGGAGCTTCAGGACATCCACAAACCTGATTAAAGAAAAGAGACAAAAACATCAAATTCAAACTTTTATGGCAGCACCACGTCTTCGTCCTGTCTTCTCTGTCTTCCTTCAAACACTCACACTTTCTCTGAGCTCATGATTTCCTGGGCGATGTGCACCACCTTCTTCCTCTTCATCTCATCCTCCTGCTGTGGAAACGCAGACACGGACACAGTCAGAGACCAAGTCACAGACACAGTCCCAGACACAGACACAGACACAGACACAGTCACAGCAGTTTCACTGCACCAACAGTCAAAGTGCTCACAGCTTCACTGCAGATCACCATGGTCTGATTCTCCTGCAGCAGCTAAAACTTCTCAGCTCTGGAGTTTAAACAGACTCCTAAACTGGAGCCTGAAGAAAGTGAAGCAACAACAACAACAACAGCAAGAGCAACAACCTCCTCCTCCTCCTCCTCCTCCGCCTGTGTTCCTGTCACACTCGGTGGAGTGTGCTGTTGAATGATAATGTGGCACAGCCATTCTCTCTCTCTGACTTCATTTGGGCATCACTGTTGGACTCCACTCCACTGAATTCTCCTACTGGTCTTATCAGAGCCTGGTCGGACCAGTGGCTGGCACGATAAGAACGTTGTCCAACTTTAGCCTGGTCCTAGCAGAGCCTGGTCAGACCAGAGCCTGGTCCAATCACAGCCTGGCCTGATAAGAACGTTGTCCATTTACAACCTGGCCCTGTGAAAAACCTGGTCCTACCAGTACCAACTTGCACGAAAACAGATTGAATTGAATTTGTCTTTAAAAACCCATTGAGCTGCAGTACAGAGCAGTGCCCACTTGGTGTCCTGTCAGCCACTCAGTGGTATCTGTGTCAGGTCTGGACTTCAGGACTGAAGTGAGACGTTTGTACCTGTTTGTCAACCTCGTCCACGTGCTCTTTACTGGAGGTGGAGCTGTTGTCTTCTTCATCTGAACTGTGGAGCTCCTCCTCCTCCTCCTCCTCCTCCTCCTCCGAGTGCCTCAGCCAATCACTGAAACACAGACAAAAAATATAAATCAAACACAGAGATTTGATAAAGAAGGGTTATAAAAAAAAGGCAAAGAATTTAACATTGACCCTTAGAACGGAAGTGTGTGAGTGAGTGTGTGTGTGTGTGTGTGATTCTGTTATAGAAGAGAAAGGTTAATCATTAAGATTAAATATTTATTTGTAATTAAGAATAGGGTAAAGAACCAGGGAATTTATTAGGTTTATATGAAGGGCCCAACAATATACAAAAACCTGTGTGTGTGTGTGTGTTCATGTGTGTGTGTTCAGATGAACCCTCCCTGTATAAATAATGGATGCGTCATGTCAATTGTTTGTCCAACACCAAGGATAAACTCAACTAACCACACCGTGAGTCAATGTTAAAGCAAAGACAGAGTATTTTCCTCCTGAAAAATCTTCAAATACAATTGTCAGAGGAGTCAACAGAGCGTTTGGCTGGAAGGAGCTGGCACAGAATGGCACTTGTTCACAGCCCAAGGCTACGAACATGAGGTGGAATTCACTCACGTCTTCTGAGCACACAAACTGCCTCTCACCACATTGGAAAACAGGACATTTTTAACAGTAACTCAATTTGAAAAATATTTGAGCGTGGTAATAATTTAATCATAAAAGAATTACATCTTATTTAGAGAGCCATGTTTGTCACAATAATCAGGGGTTTTTTCAAACAAAAAAGGTTTTCCTCTCTGTACATTTCTAATCTGTCAACTGCAGTGTTTTTCAACCTTGGGGTCGCGACCCCATGTCACCGGTAATTCAAATTGGGTCGTCTGAACTGTTTTGTAATTTATAGAAGTTCACCAATCTGGCTACTCTGTTTGCAACGCAGTTTAAGAATATGATGAAATTTTCTTTTCCAGAATTTCTCGGCAAAACCCTAATTTTTGGTCAGAAAATTCTAGAAATAAAAATGTCTCTGGTCGCCAGGAATTTGTGATGTGTTCAAACATTACAAACCCAAAGTCCAATTACAGCCTTAGTATTCAAAAACTTCACAACATTTTAGAAAATAGTTTAAGTTTACTAAATAAAACAGCAAAAAAATGTGTTTTTAAACTAGCTACAGGTTAGCCCGAAATATAACAAAAATTGATAAAGGTGAACCAACACTTCCACAACTAAAACAATGGTTTCCAACTAAATAGAGGGTCAAAGGTAAAGGTCTGAAGCAGCTAAAGGTTAGCTAAAAGTTTTGCAAAAAGAGGCAACGCTAACACAAGATAATAGTTAGTACATAATAGTTAGACATCCACTGACTTTTGGCTAAAAGTTAATCCATTTGTACGTTATTACAAGTCTGTTCCAGCGCCAAAATCTGGCCCAAGAGTTAAACTCTCAGTAAATATGAATGGAGAAAACCAAAAGTGAAACAAAGTCCTGTTGAGGATTTGTTGAATTATTTGAGCAGCCAAACAGTTTCATTCTGTGTTGTTAACTGGGACATGTGATGAGATTTAGAACAGCCTTAGCACAGAGGCTAAAGAGGTGAGGAGGAGGTGGACAAAAGAAGGAGGAGGAGAGGAGAAGGAGAAAGAAGAGGAGGAGGAGACCGGTGGTTGCTGGAAGTTTATTTTCCCTGTTCTAGAGAGCTGTGTAGCGTTTCTGCGATTCTCAGACATTTCCTGCTCTGGCCACTGAAAATAACCCACAGGAAAACAGGCCGACCTGCTCAAATCAAAGCTCTGTGCCAGGAGCTCACGTAGAACCGATGCCACTGACCGACCAACATTGTGTTTTGTCACTGTTTGTAAGTTTCTCTACTGGGATTGGCCAAATGCTGAGGGGCGAGAATTGCCCCAGATGTTGGGCTGCGTTCACACCGCAGTTAGAAGTCTAATGTGTTTTACTATATGTGAGCCATATCTGATTTTTAATGAAAGTTTCAACAGCACAGATCCAATTTTTGGTCATTCATTGGATGTGGGGTGATGACAGGAAGTTGGCAAGAAACTTAGCCACTTGGTAGGAAAATCTGCACCTAGGGGGACAAAATGCTGGAGCGTGGTCCCAATTGGCACCACCTGCAGCTGTCCAGTCAATGACAGAGTGATCAAATTGATAGACAAAGATTGCACAACAACTTCCAAACTGAAATGAGCCAAAGTCAAGTGACTACTTTACCTCTCATATTCATGATCCTGGCATCGCTGATAAGGATCCTGGACTTCATAAATGTCTGAATCCTCAGCGTCAGGGTCATGTGACCATCCCAACCTGCCATTGTGAAACGGCAGGTTCATGTACTCTGGGATTTCCTCGTACAGAGGCACGTTCTCGTACTCCACCTCTCCACATAGATCAGCCTCTCCTATGCAGCTGCTGGGCCTCTCTCGTCTCCTCTCCTCCTGCGGGGACTCCACGTTAGCACAGTCCAGACTCTGCCCTGACTTGGATAGAAGCTTTGGCAGCATCTTCACCGACAGTCTGAGCTCCAGAAGCTTCCGAAAAGACAGGCTCCTCTTGTGAGGACTGGCTCTGATTGCCAGGTCGGCCGCAGAGAAGGACTGCGCCCTCTGCTTGCTGCCCAGCGCCGGAGCTCGACTCTTGGGAGGCATGCTGCTCCGGGTGGGCATCTGCCGACTGAAGAAGGTCACGCAAGGTCGCGAGAAACGCCATGATGCTTTCTCCTGAGGAGGCGCGGGTAACTCCCTCATGGGGGTGTTGGCATGAGGAGGAGCAGGGGGACAGAAGGACGGCGGAGGAGGAGCCGGTAGGCTGTGTCGTTGAGGTTTCCTGGGTGGTGCACTCGGCAATGGTTGGTCGTCAGCAGAGAGGGCCCTCCTGGCGTTGACCAGGGGAGGGTCACATCCCAGCTTGATCTGTTTGGGGAGGCTGTAGGCGATCGGATACCTTGCGAAGTCACCGTATCCGTCCTCCTCTTCGTCCATCTGCACAACCTGCTTCTCTTCATCCTCTCTATTGTGGCTCACAGAGTCCAGGTCGAAACACTGGGGGAGGTTTTTGCTCAGTCGTGGGAGGGTGTGGACCATCCTGTGGAGACGCGGTGAGAGGGACGTTTGTCGAGGAGGTGGGACAGGAGCGTCTGCCTCAGTGTCTCCCATACCCAAGGCTTCCTGGTTTGGCCTGTCCTCACATTGCTCTAGTGTGTCCCCATGGACCCCCGAGCCTTGAGACTGAGCAGACAACCTTACTTCAGCTCCAGCTTCCTGCATCTCCTGCTCCTGCTTCAGCTCCTCCACCACAGGATCCTGAACACTGCTCTCCACACCATCCTGCCTCACCAGGGTTGTTCTTCTATGTTTCCGGGGTTGAGGGACTGGGAGAGGTTTGCTGGGAGCAGCAGGGACCTGCAGTTCAGGGTGTAGCCTGGTCTGGCAGGCTTTGCTGATTGGCTCATTGTAATCCACCTGTAAAGAATCTACAGCTACTTCATGTTGTGTGGCGTTAGAGGAGACAATGATGCTGCCTGCAACATCACAGGCCGCCTGAGAGTCTGATGGATCTGAGTTCTCCTCCTCAGTCTTTACGTCCTCCTTAGAAACATCAAGCTCTGCCTTTTCCTGAGGTTTTACAGCATCAGAGGAGTTCTCCTTCAGCTCCTCTGTCCCATGTGTCTTTTTGCTGGCAGATTCCTTGTCCAGGTGTCTCTGTCTTTGAGGTTTCTCCCTTGGCTTTTTACTAATCCCTCCAGCTTCATGCTTCTCCACCACTGCTGCTCCCTCCTCCTCCTCCTCCTTCTGCTGCCGTTTTTCTGCTTCCTGCTCTTGCGTACTCTGCACTTTAAATCCCTCTGTGGAAATACCATTCTGCAACACATCTTTGTGCAAATCACTGCCGGCCTCAGTTACACCTCCGTTTTCCAGACGGCGGCGCTGGGTGCAGTCCTGTAGCTCGCAGGAGCAGGTGGGGATGATGTAGTCCGAATCCCGTTTACTGGACTCTGATAAAATCCCATTTTTGGAGTTGAGGAGTGAGAGGCTATTGTCCAGAGCTTCCTGCTGTTCCTGAGATGTGATAAGAGCTCCGCTGGGTTTGGGAGGTGGGGGTGAAACAGGAGGGGAGGAGGCTGTAGATTTAGGGAGACAGGGTTTAGGGGCAAGAGCAGGTTTGGTCCTCTTGAGTGTGGCTGGAGAAGGATGGGAGACTACGGAGGACTGGGTGAGGATCCCCGGTTTGGGGGCGATGGGTGGGGGAGAGGGTTTGGTGGCAGCAGGAAGTTTAGGTTTGGGAGCTAATGGAGGCTTCTTCACACCTGTATGTAGAGAAGAGGGAGGAGAATTACTGAAAAGTCAAACTATTTACTGACACTTCCGCAGAAAGTGAATCATGCAGTGTAAGCATTTGTCATCCACACACAGAGCGTAACATACACACCACTGTAAGTCCTCTGTCCCAGAACGTATAATGAAACCAAGTCATGTGTGAAACAGATTTACTTCACAAAATACAAAGTGAACCGAGTATTAATCTTGGTTTATTTTGTTTACCTATTAGTTTCACTAATGCCTGGCCTTCTTTGTGTTCTTAGCCTCTCTTCTTCTTTACCAAACACAGTCTCTCTGACCAGAAACACTGTAACTAGCTTCCTATTTTATACACACTCATTAAAAAGACCTTTCAAAAACCTCATTTATTATTTTATTGTGGTCTTAAACTAGGTTCTGTGGTTGATTTAGAAATCGTTAAATAATATATTCAATGATATCGTTGGTCAATTCGGAGTAAAAGTGAAAAATGTTGGCCTTTAGTGATGTGTCCATTCAACACGACTACTGCAATTTCACAGTTGAAGGCATTGGATAGCAGGGATAATTGATCTCCTTAAACAATACCGTTATACTTTTTAATGATTTAAATCAGCCGAATTTCTAAAATCATAATAAATGAGCGATGGAACTTCATGTCTGGAGAAAAAAACAAAAACAAAATACACTTCAAAATGCTATTTTTTTCTAGCGGTGATGTGTTGTGTTTGGCTCCGTGGTAAGGGCGCCACAACAATACCATGTTATACCTCTGTTTATAAAAACGCAAGATGCATTTAACAATATGTAAGATAGTTGTAAGTAAGTACGATATAAGTAAGTTAATAATGTGCTGTTAAACATTTGAAAGAGAAAATACAAGGGACGATTAAGTTTTATATTTGGGGGGACTTTTAGCTAACGGTTTATTCCATAGCTAAGTAGTGTGCAAAACGCAAAAAATTCTAAGCTTTCTCTAACTTTGAATTTCATTAAAACGGCCGAATTGACCATTGCACGATAAAGATACAACTTAAGTTGAAAACAACACCGTTGGTCATTCTAAGTAACACGGAAGATAGGTAAGCATGTAAATACAACAAACTTCTGTGGAGTTTTTAGTCTGGTGTTTACGCCTTGAGCTACTTGGTGAACTAAAAGAATTTCAAAACACAACCAGGCCATAACTGAATTTGCCAATAAATATTGAAAATACAATTAAAGTTAATCAACCACGTTACTGGTCAGTTCTGTAAAATGCAAGAGGATACAAGCATGGTGGTTTTGGCCCATCGTTCTCCCGTTGTGGTGAAGGTGGAGAATGGTCCGTAAAACAATAGTGTTTTAACTTTGCATTTATAAAAGTAAGCCGAATTCATTATAGAAGTATATAAGTGTAACATACGATAACAAAGAACGCGGGTTATTATTATGAGAAGCAACCGTGGGTCGAATCCCAACGTGTTAGGTGATTCCATGGAAGTTTTCCAACTCGATCCAAGCAGATGTAAACGGAGCCCAAGTTACGATCGTGTCCGACTTGTTGCATCAACAACAGCAGGACAGATGTTTAAAGACAAAGGATTTCAAATCGTCCACAGCTGCAAAACAGTGGTCGCGATATATATTTAAAAAGTAATGTTGAGAGTTTGTACGCTTGCGTTAAAATAGTGTTTTTCGTAAAAAAAAACGCAACCCAAGTCCCGTTTTATATCCTTTGTGAAAGCTGTTATTAAGAAAAACTGTAATTAACTAAAAATAGAACAGAAGCTCGCGACCGCTACTACACTAGGGTTTTGCATTTTCGGCACAAAGAGTTTAACAGTAAAATAACATATTTAATAAACCAAACAAAAGACAAACAACTTAAACTAAGGTGAAGGAGCTTCCCACTCGAAACAAACCTGAGCTCATGACTCCAGACTGATCCCTTTCTCCATGAGTGAAGTCGCTGCTTTTTCAATGGAAGTGTGAGAAAATGTTCGTTAACATTTTTCCTTCCTTTAACATTGTTGTCAGTTTGTTTAGGGAGACAGGAAAACACGCAAATGCAACAGGGTTATTCCTTATCTCTGTTTTGGAGGTCCAGGGAGAGTCTTTACGTCTGATACTTTTTCCATTTTTCCCAAAGTTTTTTTTTCTTTTTGTCAGTTTTTTCCCAAGAGCGTCAAGTAACAGAGTATAAAAGAATGAACTTCCTGTTGTGACCTTTCAAAATAAGACTGTTGTAATGAAACGGATGGTTTTGCAAAATAAAGTTTCCTTTATTTACATCACGTTTGTGCGTTATTTATTGTTCATTTATCCTTTTGTTTTTGGTGTGAAAATAAACTAAAATAACAATGATTTAAATTTTAGGAAATCAATTTAATTTCACCGTCAATGTTTTATTGAATTATACATGGTATTTACACAAATATATAATTTTAAAAAGATGGTAGTTGTACTATTTACACAAATATATAATTTTAAAAATAGGTTAGCTTCTATTTTTCACTTTGCCTTAGCCAGCTAAAGGGTAAATATCCAACATTTCATAGACATTTCAGAACCTATTCATAATTAAACCCTACCTTTACAAAAGTACAATCACCTCGCTAACTTGGTGTTTATTTGTGAAGGCGAATCTTTTACTAATTTCTTTGAACGTTACTGCCTCTCACCACTTGAGGCGTTCGATCTCTTTAGTCGCGGTTGTTGGTTTGTCGAACGGAAGCGCCGAAGTTAAGTAGCAGGGCATTGTGGGAGATGAAGTACGGCGGCTAAGTTGTTTAGCAGCCGGTGGCTAAGTAAAAGGCAGACTGTCTGTTTATCTGAACTTCTGCTGTGGCTCTAACGTAGTCTACGAGCCTACAATGTGATACAGGCTGCGCACAGATGGCGTAGAGCGATGACTGAGGAGTTCGACGAAGATGTGGTATTTGAGGTTCGCACTTTATTCATTTTTACCGCCTTTTCCCTGTGTAATGCTTCGTCATTCTGTCCTAACATGTGAGCTAAAATACTGAGTTCTGTGGTTCGTTTGAGCTTGACGGGTTAGCAGCTTTGTTAGCTTCTGTTGCTTAACAAATGCCTAAATTTGGCAGCTGGCGTCCTGCTTCTGCCAAGCTGCTTTTCGAGTCATGGGAGCAGCTTTACTCAAACTGCTGTGTCCCTGCTGCTGCTGCTGCCGTTGCTGTTTCTCCAGCTCTGGTTCTGGAGCAGCGGCTGCAGGTGGGGTCGGTCTGAACAGGTCCATTATGCGTCAGTTCTGAACTAACACACACACACACACACACACATACATAAAGAACACACACGGACGTCTTTCTTCGTGCTGATGACAACAACATGAGCCACTGCTGCTGGTGATAATAATGCATGTGAGTAAACGTTGCTGTGCCTGGTTCGGTTCCTGTCTGCAGTGTGTCATAGATGGAGGGAGGGAGACAGTGACATGAAACTAGAGCAGACATGGAACAGTGTCACCGTCATTCTTAGTAAAATTGCTAATATTGTTACTTAATAAGAATGATTATTCTTACCATGAATGATTGTAAAGATAGGCTAAATATTAGAAGCTCATCCCAGGGGAAACATCCAAACCATAACTCATCACCTGTGTTTATGGCTATGGTTCAAAGCATAGCCATCCAGATGGTTTAGGCCACGGACCTTCAGATCGATGGAGAGACAGAGCTTGGACAACCTACTGCTTATGATGTATAATATAGTGTTTTATAACAAAGTTGGCCTGGTGCAACTTACAAACACCACCTTGTTGTTTTGCAGTAAATACTAAGCTGTTCAAATAATAAACAACACGTTGTGTTCATGTTTTATGTGAAACGTAGTGCGTGTTGGCTGGTAAGTTGGCCAATGTCATTTTTAAATCTATTATTTGTTTATGTGTTATTTTGTCTGTAAGGACTACTTTGAAAATAACTGTTTTTAGAAATGGACATCTTTTGTTTTGAAGGGTTAATCCATCAGGCATCATTCAACCTTCCTTCTGCCTCGTTTTACTCTCTTTGTCTCTCAGTTCTTCAGCGACTGTGCCGTTTGATTGACAGACTGTCTCCTGGTCTTTTCCAGAACTCTCCTCTTTACCAGTACCTGCACGATCTAGGCCACACAGACTTCGAGGCATGTCCAACGTCAAAGGAGGAGGAGGAGGAGGAATATGGACTGGAGGGCGACTTCGCGTCCGACAGAGAACGGCAGAAAACCTTAGTGAGTGTCTCTGTCGTGGGATTTCCCAAACTTGAGCTGCAACAGTCTCAATGTGATCATCGTCTAATTTATAATCCACGCTGGTTAAAACCCAGTGGCGTTTATTTACACCTTAAATCATAAAGTATTTCATTGTCTGTTGTTTCACCTTTGGTCATGTTAAGGTGAAATTATTTGTACTCCTGCACAAGGTCAGTGTATAAATCATGGTTGTGTGTGGTCAGACAGATAGTCCCTTATTGGACCATTGATTCTAAACAATAACACACAAACACAGACACACACACACAGACACAGCAGCCACAGACAGAATTATCTTCACATTGACAGTATGATCAGAGAGTAAATGTGGGTCTGTTTCGTGTCATTTTAGAAGCAACAGTCCCAAATGATATTACTGATGCTCTGCTGCTTGTGTGATGTTCCTTCACTGATTACATGTGCAGATAGAGTCTTGAGTCAGCAACTTTTTGTTGTTCTTGTTGTTTACCAAAGGTTCCCGTGAATCAGTTGTCATTTTTCCTCCACACTGTGATTCAAACAACAAACATTAAACTGACCACCTTCCCTCCGCAAGCTCATCTGAAATGACTGTTGGTTTTGTAAGTGTTTAGTTGAGTTAGTTTGGAGTAGTTGTGTGTTCTGCAGAAACACATGAGTCACATCCACCTTCGGGCGTTTGTGTCCAGTCTATTTAGATGTAAACTGCGGTCTGACTTGGGATGATAAAATGTGTTCTGGGAAGCTCAGGATCACATGTCCTCCATCCTCGTCCTCCTTCCCTCCAGACAGGAAACGTTGTTGTGTGAGCTTCAGTCAGGAACTTTCCACTGCTGTCATGCTTCCTCCCTGTTGTTGTTCTAAAAAGTTAAGGAGGAAGAGGCAGGAAAACGTTTGGCTCCTTCTCCTGTTTGGTGACGTGTTTCCTGGAGTATGGAGAAAGTTGGAAGTGGGACAAACTCTGTTGTGTTAACAGACCTAATGTTAGTTTGTTTTTTTTTTTTATAGAGCAGATGACATTTTCTTTGGTCTTGTTTGGCCCCTCAGCTTCAATTTAAATAATTATTTCAGTGTAAGTTTTTTTTTTAAACATTGACAGTAGGTCATCTCAGCCCCCCCCCAACCACCACCACCTAAACCCCCCGACCTCGAATGGAAAAATGACACAGGCTGCGTCACACTATTCTGCTTCCTCCAGATGTAAACTGTTAGGAAGTGTCAATTTAAATATGTGGCTCCTGTTAAAAAAAATGACAGGAGCCACTGTTGAATTCAAAACTCCAAAATTTGGAAGGAAGTTAAGAAAAAAGTGCATATAAAATTTTATTTATTTATTTTTTCATTTTAATATCCCTTGTGGCACGACGCCGCTGCTTGATGTACATAAAGGATTTCTCTAAACACAGACAGATGTGATGTTCTGTGATATGTTCTTAATCCCTGTGCGCTCTGATACGTGACAAGATCAGCTGACCACAGACAGGAAACTTCAAATGAAAGGATCATCAGTTTCCCGTCCGCTCCTGTCACATCTATACATCATTTATCCTTGAACCGGCCAGAATAGAATGAAGTATTCTGTGTGTGTGTTGAATGGGTTCATATCTTTAGGTTCATACTGTGAACAGTAGAATCTTTTGTCAGATTAAATTTTCTCCAGGTTGTAAGATGGAAAAATAAACAGCGTCAAGGTTGTTGGGAACAAAAACACTGTAACTGTGCAGTGTTACATTGACATGTTGCAGGAGCACGTTCTCTGAGAGTAGTCCTGACGTTACTTTAGTACTGCTTTAGTAAATACTTTACATTACATTTACGCATTTAGCAGATGCTTTTGTCCAAAGCAACTTACAGAGGAGGATTAACAATCAAACCTCTGGGAATCGAACCTCAGACTCTCTGCTTTCAGGGCAGACATGCTAACCGCTACACTATAGAACCAGCAACCAAATAGTTGCAGTTTGACATGGGAGATATTTCATAATATCAGTCAGTATGTAAAGTCTGTTCCTGTATTTGACGGTGGAGCTGGAACAGTTCATTTGTTTGTGTCACATGTTTGGCTTCGAGCCATCTGTGGGGTTTTTTCTTTTGCTCTATTTTAAGTAACTTTTGGCGTTATTATTATATGTCTGTTAGACTGTTATGTCGTATTTTTGGTCTATCACCATTTCTTATCTAATTACTAAAATCCAAACCTCACTACTCCCAGAATGCCCTTAAAGACGAGGACAGAGTGTCCTGTTTATATTACCAGAATGATCAGACACAGTCGGTGTGTCATAATTAAATCCCCATTTTACAAACACTTCTTTATTCAGTGATGATGTCAGAGGAGTCCAAGGTTGAGTCCGTTCACTACCAGACTCTGACACAGGGTAGAGTTTCTTTTGTCCTGTCAGAAGAAAGAGAAGTTTTTTTTTTTTAAATAGCCCACAGCTTTGTTCTCTTCTTAAATGTCAGCTATTGAGAAGGGCTGAAGCTCTTTTCTGATTGGCTGCTGTACTCCCAGAGCCCTTTTTACTGGGAACATAGCTTTATAAAAAAAACTCACGGCTCATGTTGGGATTTTTTTTATTTGAACTAAGGATGGCTTGATTCAACTTTTTCATATCCAGTACTGATATTGCTACTCAGAGTATCAGGTGATGCCGATATCAATCATTTTACGGCATGTCGACTCAGTACAGTGCAACTCAGAGTATCAGGCGATACCGATATCAATCATTTTACGGCATGTCGTGCAAAGTTAAGTTAAGCATTTGGGCTTAGGTATCGGATCAGACAGGCAACAGTTGGTTGAAATTTTGACCAATACCGGAACAATACTGATCCTGTATTGATGATACTGAGAGTATTGCACTGAGCCAACCCTAATCGCTACAGTATAGTACTTTACAGTGTGCAGTAGACACTGTTAATGCCAGCACGACACCTTAACTAAGGAATTTTTTTTTGAACTTTGCACATGTCAATGTTATTATAATAATAATTAGATAAATTAAACCATTTAATTGTTGCCCAGTTCTAGTTAAAGTATAAAACACGTGTTCTTCTCGATTGACTAACAAAAAAAAACAACAACGTGGTGTTACTGTCTTCCTTCGCTAAAGTTTTCAGGCCTTAAGTCCTTGTTTATTTGCTCCGTATTAAATGGACTCTTAGATGTGGGTTTTTCTGGTCTCTCAGACTCGGCACTGAGAATGAGAGCACACATTTCACTTATTGTTGTTGCATGAAAGAGTTTGTCTCCTGGGAAACTCCTTTACACTCTGACCGACTGTTTATGCACAATTGGAACTACTAGTAGGTGTGTGTGTGTGTGTGTGTGTGTGTTTTTTTTTCACCCTGGGAAAGAAGGAATGTGTTGAAAATAATCCAGTCAGTTTATTGTTCTGAAGTGAAATTCTTGTTCTTTTCCTTCTGAGTCAGACAGTGAAGTATGGACAGCAGTGGGTAAAGACATTCATCTGATGATTCCTATGAATTGACTTCATTATGACTCTCCTTCTGGGGTGTTTCTGCAGGGAGGACGTCTGTGGAGGTTGGCTGAGGCCGTGTGGAGATGGAGCCCCATCAAGGAGGCGGCGGTGCCACAGAAGCTGCAGCAGCAGCTGGTAGGAGGCGTGGGGGGAAAACAGCAAGGAATGCTGGGACTACAAAACATCGCTGAGTTAAACGAAAAACATTGCTCTTTGCAGGACTGCGTGTTCGGTCAGTACTCGGTGAAATGCATCCTGGACCAGGACGTTCTGCTGCAGGAGGACGTGGAGCTGATCGAGCTTCTGGACCCCAGTCTCCTTGCACTGGCCTCCTCCTCTTCCTCCTCCTCCTCCTCCTCCGGTTCACCGAGCCGAGTGAGAAACCTGCCCAGACCCAGCCTCATGGCCAAGCCCTCTCTGTGGTAATACACACCAACGCATGCACCCACGCAAACACACACAGTCTGGTTTCCTTGAGTTGTCAGGACTTCACATAGACATAATGTATTCTCTAACCCGGGTGACTCAACCGCCGGCTTGGGGTCAAATTTCAGCCCACAAACTCACCTTATCAGACCTGTGACTGTACGTCAGTAATAATTAAATTAATGTTTAATGGTGAAAATGTTAGAACACATTTTACGTCCTGGGCTCAGAAACACCTCTGCTGCTCTCCTCTGTCAGGGACATGGCGGCTCTGGTCGGCCTGGCTTCGGTTCTCCTGGGTCTCTGCTCCTCAGCTGAGGGCCTCCTGTGGTCCCTGGCAGTGACCCCCTGGAGCCTGGCACTGCTTGGCTGGATGGGAGTAAAGGGGGCCACACTGTGGAGATTGGGACGCCTGCAGACGGCCGTCCACGCTAGGGCCACGCATCTGCAGAACCTGGTCCACAACAGTAAGACTCTGACGGGTCTGTCCCGTAAAGCTCTGAGACTGGTGCAGGAGACAGAGGTGATCTCCAGAGGCTTCACCCTGTAAGTGTTTTTATCTTTGATTCTATTTTAAAAAAAAACCCCAGCCAACAATTAACGAACATGAACTGATCCCAGCTAAGAATCACAGACTGCTCCTTTAGCACGTTGTCGTATGTTCTAGTGTAGTTCTAGTGTTGTGTTCACGTCTGTCTCGTCTCGTGTGTCCTCGTCTTTAGCCGCCTGTAGTTCAGTGTTGTGTGTTTCCCCCCCGCCTCTCTGGGACGTCTCCACAGTTGTATCACATTTCACTTGTCAAGTTTGCTCGACAGGGTGAGTGCGGCCGGCTCCTTTAGCAGGGCGGGGCCAGGGGTGGTGCCACGGGGTCAGCAGCTGATGGGACTCAGGAAGGTCTTGTACCGGTCTCTCCGCTTGGCCTTCAGAGCCTCCAGAAGAGCCACCTGCCACATGCTGAAGGAATATCCTTTATCCCTTTAGGAATAAACAGTAAAAGTCCTAAAATTCAGCATTTGATTTTGTTTCAAGTTACATCAGAAAACAGCAGCTAAATGTTAGCAAAATAGTGAAAACACTACGATAAATGAAAACCTCAATGTACCAGAGGGTTTTTGGCTCAGATCTAAGATCCTTAACTCTTCCTCATGTTTCCTCTGAACTCTGAGATCGACAATGTCAGCAACTACGTGTCAGCGATTCCTCTCAAAGACCTGGGCCTGGGTCTGGGAATCGAACACCTCAGTGACGAACAGGCCCAGGAGCTGACGGACGACTACAGTCTGCCTGCCCTGAAGGTAACAGGGATTTTTGGGCAGTTCTAAAAAACATGTTTTAGCTGCGTTATTGCTAACCTTTAGGTAACTATTTGCAGCTGTGTATAATGATTTTATTCATCTCCTGGCTTATGGTTTGTTTTTTTAATGTCATTTTAGATCATGCAAAATCTTTACTTTTAGGTTTTTTGTCTTTTTTGGGGCTGACTTTAAGTCATCTTTCTTCATTTGCTATATGTTCAGGTGTTTTTTTTTCTTAGTTTTCTCTGTGTGGCTTTAGTTTTAGTAAATGTGTCAAAGTTTCCAGCATCTTTCTGGAAACATTTTAAGAGCGCTCCCTTAGTTGACTGATAAATCTCCAAACACAACACACACAACTCCCCCTGCAGATGCTCTACCAGCTGTGGCTGGGCCAAAGCTCCGAATGCTTCCGTCGTTTGGCTCTTCTACTTTCTCCGCGTCGCCTCGAGGAGTCAGAAGATGGAGACTCTTCCACAGGCTCGCCGTCTCCAACCCCACTCCACCGCTCCATCTCTGCTGTAACGGAGCCACTGCACCAGGCTCTGTCCGGCTGCCTCTGTGATGTGCAGCGCAGCTTCGATTTCCACCGACACTTTGAGACCCAGACCAGGACCACGGGCTCCGACAAGAACGGCAGAGCCAGAGAGACCTGCCGGGAACTGAACACTCTCCACACCTCCATACGGAGCCTGCAGCTGCACCTGAAGGCCCTGCTCAGCGAGTGAGAAACACACATGCACACACACCCACACACACACACACACACTCTGACTGACCTGGTTCTGCATCTCCTGTAAGTAAAGACATTGACTTTAAAAATAAGGCCAGTGAAAATGGGTCACAAAGATACAGTTGATCATATCCTAGCTTGTGTTGATCGGTCTTTGCACCAAAGTCCATGGAGAAAATCTATGATTTAATGTTGAAGCAGCTCCAAATCTGGATTCTTAGTTTTTCAGTGACTATATTTACCAGCGTATCTTTAGTAACATTTTAATTTTTTTTTTTTTTTCAATCAAACACTGATATTCATGCTTGCTGTATGTCACTGTTGGATTAACATCAACCATCCATCATCAACAGGATGATCATCCTGGAGGACGACCTGGAGAAACTAATGCTCTCCAAAAAGGTGATGGAGCTGTCCTGTGAAAGCTACCAGGAGCTGAGCGAACGCCTCCACCATCTGCAGCCACACATGCAGGCCAGCACGGGCTGCTGGGACGACACCATCTGCCAGGTGGAGCGGATGCTGAGGCGAGCCGGCGGCTGCTCAGGTGAGGAGGTGGCAGGAGGTCAGATCATTAAAATGACTTTCTATCTGAATCTCTTTCAGGTCTCTGTCTGCACGGATCGTTGTCAATTCTGGATTAACCGGATTTTCAGCAAAGTTGTTTCTGTTGCCGCATTAAACCAACCAACAATAAGTAACTATAATGTGGTAGCACAGCTTCAACCATTAGTTCCTATTTGACAGTCGGTTTGTTTGTAACCCAAACGTCCTCCTTCGTATTACACACACCGAGAAAGAAGCTCCTGTAAAATGTAGAGCACAGAAATGTAGGAAACAAAGCAACTGAAAATGTGTTATTTTAAATTAATATAATCAAATGAATGTAATCTAATAAGTTATTTTTAAAGAACTGCTAAAATCCAAGGCCCACTATTTTGTGCACGGTCTCGTCAGGTCACCATGAAGCCGTGCAGCACTGTGGAGCTCCTGTAGCTGAGACTCCTGTGTCTCCTCCTTCTTATCCCTTGATCCTGGACAGAGATCCAGTTCCAGAGGAGCTGGTGAGAGAAAATGTCCATATTTTATTTTTTCACCAAACAGGTTAAATCATCAGATTCAACATCATTTCTCTCTGTCTGGTTGGACCAGGAGTGGGAGGCCTACGTGTCCGATTCGGACTCCGACGGCGAAGGCCGAGGGTCCTGGTCCGACATGCTGTCACCGGAGGAGCGGGAACGCCAACGGAGGGAGAGGGAAGAGTCTCGTCGGGTGCTGTCGGAGCTGAAGGCTGTCCTGGGCTTCAGAGCGTCAGAGGGAGAGAGGATGAAGAGGAAGCAGCTGCTTTTCAACGACCAAGGTCCGTGAAGACCTTAAAACCTTGACTGGTTTTATCTGCACATGCTCAGATGACATTTCAGTAAAATCATTAATCAACATGGCTGTCACGGACCAGAACATTTACTGCTTTTCATCTGGAAACAGTCAGTGCATTAACTGTTTACAAATGGATAGTATTACTTTAAAAGGACAGCTGAGGTTTTACTCCGAGTAGACACATACTAAGCCATTCCTGTGCTTTGGGTTTTAGGAGCAGTCAGAGAAAAAAGGCAAGTTTATAAAATATTCTCTGCAGAAAACACCAGAACTTTCTTAATTACAGTTTTTTTTTATTGCAGCACACAGGTTCAACAGCAGGCACAACACTTTTAGATTTTTGGAAAGTGCAAACTGTAACTGCTAAATAAATGACAAGACTGTCATTTATCAAGTCTGCACATTTTGAAGGTACTGACTAATGAACTCATCAGTGAGGTGTGAATGACGTATTTCTCTCTGCATCCTGCAGCTGCTCCGTCAGCTTGTGGCGAGGGTTCAGACCCCACCTCTGAAACATCTGACGTGATGACGACCTCTGCGGAGTTGGGAGGAACCGGCAGCGAAGAGGGAAACCACCTATCAGCAGCACAGGCTGCAGGAGACCAACCACAGGAAGAGGAAGGAAAAAACGACGGGGTGAGGTCTGACCTTCTCCCTGAGCCGGGGAAGGAGTTCAGCTGTGGACTGGAGGTGAAGGAAGGGGAGCTGGGTGGAGGTACTGTGTGCAACAGAGGGGGAGGAGGAGCTTCAGAGCTCCACCAGTATGACGGTGAGGTCATGGAGGAGGAGGCGGAGTCTCAGAACGGTGTGGTGGACTGTTTCATGAAACCTCGAGTCCCTGCCATCACCGTGTTGGACAGACTGACGGAGATCCACGGATCCCAGGCTCTCAGCTTTAGCTCCTCCCTTGCTGCTCAGGTGGCGGCACGCTCGCAGTCCCTCATCAACATGGAAGAGCAGACGTTTGGTGACGACAACACTGATGATGATGATGATGATGATGATGATGAAGAGGAGGAGGATGATGATGATGAAGAAGAGGAGGAGAATGACTCGAGATTCCCTAGCGAGGAGTGAAAAAGAAACTCTTTTTTTTTCACTCCCCTAGCGAGGAGTGAAAAAGAAACTCTGCTGTTTGTAACAAACTGTGATTGTTTGGTTGTCGTTTACAGGTTCACATCCTGTCTGGTGACATTTGAAGCTCCCTTCCTTTCCAGATCTATCCGTCTTGTTCGTGTTACTGTCCAATACCCATCATTTTTTACCGTTGCTGTTAAAACCACAGACTGTAGACAAGAAGTCGACGAAATCAGGTTTATATGACGTTGCCACCGTGGAATATTTATTGCCACCTTTTTCCCACCAGGGGCCAGCCATATTGATTGCCAAAAACAGCTAGTTTGTATATGGATTTGTAGATGCAGATGCAAGTTTCAGGAACAAGGACAGTTCTAGTACCTTAGGTGCCTTTCCATAGTTCTACTTGTAGAACTGAGGGAGAGAACAGGAACTGTGAGGTTTGTTGTTAAAGTGCAGACGCGTCTCAGTGGTTAAAAAGTCGGCCACTGAGAAACAACTGAAATCATGGAAACTAAAACACGACAAGATCTGGTATGAAACACATTTTTATCCTTGTTTTCTTTATGGTAGTTCAAACTCTGTTGAGGTCATGATATCGACCTTGACACCAAATCAGGTTACGGACCCAGGTGTTATGATGAACTATTTAAAATGACTGACTTGGTGTTTTGACCAATCAGAAAGCTCTGCGTTGCAGCAGCGCCACCCTGTTTTGGAAATGGCAAAAACTAATTTGCATTAACTTGTTATTTTAATCCACAATGACGAAGCATGTGACGATAAAGCGGTCACCAGGTAACCTGAGGACTACGTCCACTTCTTCAGTCCAGTCTGTGGTTAAGACTCAGGAATCAGTTTACCACTAACACACGGTACTTCTCAGTAAGAGCTCAGGAGAGCAGAACACTGATCTCCAATCAGTGGTGATAATGACTTCTGATCTGGTCTAACTCACAACAGTCCAGTCCAGTCTGAGGGATTGTGGTGGAAGACGCTGAGAACGAAAGACCTGAGAATATTACTCCCAGTGGAGATTGTGTAAACTCTGCGTGGCCGTCCGTTGTCTTCTGTTTCATGTATTCATGTCAGTTTGAAGCAGCCTTGTTGCTGCTGTTGCTGCTGCTCTGTACTTAGATGAGTTTCACCTGAGAGGCTTCTCCAAGTAAATCCACCTTAGAAATTGGAAAGATTATATTTTCAAAACTGACTTTATCAGGGCGTCAAATTATCTCCTGCTTGACTGAGGTTTTCAAATCGATGTTCTGCTGAGGAAACCAACATTATTAAGGGTGTGGTTTGAGGCCAAGGTTATGATTGTTTGGAACATTTGCTGTGGAGAGGTGTTGGAGGGAGTGTGTCTGAGATGGAGATGGAGCTGCCAGGTAGACTTGGAGGTTGATGAGTGGAAAGTCGAGAAGATTTAAACTGTAGATCATTGAGTTCCTCACTTTGACTGTAGATGAGCTGAAGAGTTCACCAGCTGTTTTTTCTGATACAGAAGGTGGACCACGAGGTTCTGTAGCTCCCCAGCCCCAAAGTCATAGAACATGCAGGATTGGCTTAGGTGTTCGGTCTAAATTGCCCTTAGTTGTGTGTGTGATTGGTTGTGTCTTTATATGTGATGGACTGGAGAACTCTCCAGGTCTTAACTCCACCCTTGAAAGGAAGAGGTAGAAAATGAATGAATTAAGTTCTCAATGTAGGTACATGGACTTTCTTACACCATACACCATACTATTTTTTTTTAAATCAAGAAGATCTTCTGTCCTCCCTCCTTTTAAGTTGAGAAAGCCCCCAGGTACACCATACTATTTTTTTTTAAATCAAATGTGAGAATCAACATCATCAAAAGTCCCAAACTTTCAGTCTTGGACGCCGCCATCTTGTCTGAAAGTCTAGGAGGCCGTGATTCTGTGATGATGTGGATTTTGACAGTAGAGCAGCATGAATGAACTCAAATGCACATATAAAAAAAGTGAAGTGTTTTTTCTGACCTGTCAGAGACAATCTGTAGCTTCTGTGTTTCCACATGAAGATTCCAGGAGATTCTGGACAAGCCTGATAATTCACCTCTCTCTCTCTCTGTCTTCTCAAGGTCCGCAGTCTCTGCGCCTCCTTTTCATCATTTTCCGACATGAAATAAAACACCATTCTGGAAGTTTTCTGAGTATGTCCTGAGGTGCTTTCTGAAATTGTGTCCTATTTCACAGACTCTTCATGCTGACGGTAAAAAAACAGGTCGAGTCTGTCATGCGATATGTTTTAAAGGTTTTACATATTGTTTGAACTGAAGCAGCTGCTGCTGAACTTTAAAATCTCCTTGGAGCTAACACAGTAACACAGTAAATTAGCTTCAACTGTTTAATAATACAACACTTTAAATGGATTGATCGATTTATATGTATTTATAGTCATATCTTAGATCAGGGATGAAAGAGATAGTTTAATCAAATTTAGTTTCACACTGAGCAAAGTAAAGTAAAACATTTAATAATTAATAAAAATAATTCAGAAATTTTGTAAGTTAATATGATTGTGTATTTTCAGTTTTTGAGATGTATTTGAAGTTAAAAAAAATTAGAAAATTTAGGGTCGCCTTTAGCTGGGTCTTGAGTTTATTTTGCCACCTGGTGGTGATAATTGCTATTGCAATTTAAAATGTGTGACCTAAAAACAAAACTGAATTTGAACGACTCTCTCAGAGAGGATCATAGGTTGTTGCCCTGTCTGTGTAGATCCAGAGAAAGCATATGATAGAATGCCTAAGGAGGAACTGTGGTCCTGTAGATGGTCAGGAGTGGCAGAGAAGTATGTGAGGGTCGTGCAGGACATGTACAATGCCAGCGAGACGGCAGTAAGGTCTAGGGGTTGGATTACATCAGGGATCAGTTCTGATCAGCCTTGGGATTAAATACCTATTCAGAGTAATGGACAGTGCACAACAGAGGTGAAGAAAATGGTGTCGTTGGGGTGGGGGGTGGGGTGGTGGGGGTGGTGAATGGAGATGAGTGTCATCATCGGTATGAGACAGAGAGATAGCAGCAAGGTTAATTTATAATAATAATATATTCTAATGGTGCCTATAGAACTAATATTGTCGTTGGTGGTAGTTTATTGACCTCAGATTATTACCTTATTACACTGAGCCTCAGTCTCAGCTGATGCAGCATGTTTCACTCAGAAATGCCTTTGAGCACTTTATGTAAGCCCGTAATTTCCACCGAATCATGTGCACAATATTAGTTTATTTCCTATTCGTCGAAATTTATTATATTAAAAGTCAGGCACGTATGGACTTAAATAATGTTGTATTTAAGTAATACTGCAATAATGTTGATATGACCCACTTTTTGATTTATTACACGAATTTGTCCGTGTAAAAAGAGCTCACATTGATGTGTCTATGAAGATTCTATGAAGTCATCCAGATCATGGTCAAGGTTGAAGAGTTCGAACTCTCAACTGATTCTTCGTTCTTTGAGAAAATGTCACGTCCAGTTACCTAACAGAACTCTTAAACCTCACGTTTATGGATTTGCATTACAGTTTCTGACTGTAAATAAACGCAACACCACTCTCAGCACTCCCACAATCCTGTGCGCTGCCTTTTCCAGCAGCGCCTGCGAATATGGCGGACGTAGTGGCAGAGCAGGTACCGGAGCAGAAAGAAGTCCCGACACGGGAGGTGAACGGCGAGGCCGACGACAAGGAGGAGCCCGAACCAGTGGGGGAGGCCACAAAGAAGAAGAGGAAAAAGAAAAAGAAGAGCAACAAATCTGTGGCAACAGGTAAGACTGCGGAGCGTGTTCTTATGCTAACTGCTAATAGGCAAAAAGCTGCAGACAAACGATCCGGAAACGACCACATAGGACTTTCAAATTAAAAATCGTTGTAGCGTTTACAAGTGTAACGCCATTTCATTGACTATGTAGTCAGGGTATTTCGTGCTTGATAATTTCAATACATTATGTATACTTAAGCTTAATTTAAATATTTAAATCATTGCCTTTTATACGATAAATAAATCGTTGTCGACTTGCTAAACTAAACCATTATGCAGAGCTTGTCTTTAATCTGATTTGACATTATTTATTTAATTTAAATATTTAAATCATTGCGTTTTATACGATAAATAAATCATTGTCGACTTGCTAAACCAAACCATTATGCAGAGCGTGTCTTTAATCTGATTTGACATTATTTAAGTAAATACCAAATCCTCAAAAGTTATATTGCAGTTTCCATCATGGTAATAGTTTGGGTATTAAGTGTAATTTATTAAAATTATAAGCCAGTTCCACGTGGGGGGTATAAAAGTATGATCCGCCTTATTTCATAAATACTGCCGGAAGTGGTCGTTTCACTGGTCTAACTTGCCGCCGCTCGCCAGCAGCCATGCGGGTTGTGTGGTGTGGACTGTCAAGGCCTCGCCGAACTCACCGGCTGTGGCCACAACCTCGTACATGACAAGAAACATGATCAAGAAAACAAACAATGTATTGAAAGAAATAATTATGTCACAATCAGCTATTTCCATTTTTTTTCTGCTTAAACACTGTCATCGCGAACCCTAATTTTTAATGTTTTGTGTCTTAAATTTTGTCCAAGCTCTTATTGGCTCAAATGAAAAAATAAAACAGACAAACAGCTAACACATACTTCGTTTAAACCTTCTAACAACACAGGTGATTAGGAATTGAATAAAAAAATGTAGTGTCAACACACTGGCATACATACTGTAGTTACGTCACACAACACTAGACTGGTTAAAATAGGGTTAAAGTCAAAACCACACCTACTGTATGTTGTTTATAAAAATAAATAAAAAAAGACTCAGCAGCATGAATGGCTTTAACCAGAATGCGACAACAAAAAATGTCATTTGATATTTTACATCTTTATGCTTTTAGAAATTTTATAAACTGGAAATATTTCTCAGTTTTATGTACAAATGTACACAAAAAGCGATACCGAAGTGATTCTTTCACCTCTGTGCTTCTCTGTGGGGAAGGTGTTCTTTGGGTTCTAAAGCTCTGCCTTCCTTTTCTTAACATGTCTCTACGACCAGAAAGTTGTAGCTCCTGGTCAAAGAATTTGCAGGTCTGTATCATCTTTCCCCAACAGACGTCAGTCTGGTCTTGGTGGTGTCTCCACAGTCGATGTCTTAAAAGACATACTAGGGGTTTCTGTCACGTTCTATGTATTGTTTGTGTGCAGACACTGGACTGTGTGTGACTATCATGTTGTTGCTGCTGCAGGAGGCGATGCTGAGGCAGATGAAGTGGCTGAGGTGACAGAGGTGACCAAGCAGCTGGAGAAGCAGGCGATAGAAGACAAAGAAAAAGATGAAGATGGCGATGAAGGTGGTGACCGTCACAGATCAGGTCAATATTTTATTTGGCAGTCAGTTACAGCTGTATGTGTGTGTGCTCAGACGGAAATGATGGAGAAGGGGCTGCAGGAAAAAAGAAGAAGAAAAAGAAGAAGAAAGGACGTAAGTTGATGACTTTTTACAGACACTAGGAAAATTAGTTTCCATCCTGTAACTGAGCTTCAACTGACATCATCAAGTTTCTTTTTTTTAATTTCAGCTAAATCTCAGACTGATCCTCCGTCTGTTCCCATTGGTGAGCTGTACCCAAACGGTGCATTTCCATACGGTCAGGAGTGTGAATACCCCACTATAAAGGATGGGTGAGAGGAATATTTCCGTACACATCAGTGTACATCATTGAACAGACGAAGATCGACGTCTATCTGAAAATGTTAACAAGAGTAACCTGCTGTTTTTTTCCGTCTCCAGTCGCAGTGCAGTGTGGCGCATGTCCATTGAGGAGAGGCGAGCCCTGGATAGAGCCAATGAGGAGATGTGGAATGATTTTAGGCAGGCGGCTGAGGCCCACAGACAGGTCCGCAAACATGTCCGCAGCTTCATGAAACCAGGGATGACCATGATTGAGATCTGGTGAGAAAAATTCACTCTATCAAAGATCAAAGGGACAAAAACGTTTTTTGGTGCTACCACTGGGGCAATGGTGGCTTAGTGGTTAAGGAAGTGGACTTGGGTCTGGAAGGTTTCAGGTTTGAGTCCACCAGCTGCTCTGAGCATGACACCATCACCACACACTGCTCCCTGGTCCTTAAAGCTGCCCACTGTTCACTTTGGTGATGGGTTAAAAACAGAGGTCACATTTGGTTGTGTGCAGTGGTGTGATGTGCCACAATGACAAGTGGTTTACTTTCTTTTCCTGCATCCAGTTTTTTGGTTCACTTTCTTTTCCTGCATCCAGTTTTTTGGGCTTTTGTAAAATCAATTAACATTTTGTTTTCCAACCCTCTTTTCTAATTTTGTTTCTTTGCTCACACACAAACACATGCAGTGTTTTTGTGGTGTCCAGTGGAAAACATCCTGTAAAATGTAGTTCTGGAATTTCTTCTCTGCTCTCCTCAGTGAGCGATTGGAGGACTGTTCTCGAAAGCTGATCAAGGAGAGTGGACTGGACGCCGGCCTGGCTTTTCCCACCGGCTGTTCACTGAACCACTGTGCCGCCCACTACACTCCTAATGCCGGTGACACCACCGTCCTGCAGTACGACGACGTCTGCAAGATCGACTTCGGCACACACATCAACGGTGAGCCCTTGGAAAAATGCTGCTGCTGTCACTTTTAGTGCTGATGTTGGAAAATAAAATTGTGGTGCTTGATGTTTTCATCCTTTATGTAAGCTGTTTTTTATAATCCATTTGATTTCAGAAAACAAATTGTTTCGGTGTTAATCGACCTGTGTTTTCTTCTCAAGGGAGAATCATCGACTGTGCCTTCACTGTAACTTTTAACCCAAAGTATGACAAACTGCTGGAGGCCGTCAGAGACGCCACCAACACTGGCATCAAGGTAGGACTTGATGATCGCATCATCACACATACACACACACCATTGTACACATGCTACACACGAGATTCTGTCTCTTGTATCTAATGTTTGCCAGTGTGTTTTTTAGAATGCTGGCATTGATGTGCGTCTGTGTGACGTTGGAGAAGCCATCCAGGAAGTAATGGAGTCCTATGAGGTGGAGCTCGACGGCAAAACATACCAAGGTCTGCTCCGTATTACTGTGTAATCCATCCACTTCTGTCGTAACTCAGTGCTAACATATACACAGATATCAAACCTGATTTAAAAGGTTTGAAGTCACCTCAAAGATCTTAGTGGAGTTTCTGTCTACTGATTGCTGAAGTCACCTCAAAGATCTATGACCTCTTAGTGGAGTTTCTGTCTACTGATTGAAAAATACCGCTGAGACAGAGATGCTTTTGTTCTTGCAGTGAAGCCAATCCGTAACCTGAACGGTCATTCGATCGGCCAGTACAGAATACACGCTGGAAAGACAGTGCCCATCGTTAAAGGGGGAGAAGCCACAAGGATGGAGGTGAGGAGAACTCTGAGGCTGTGGTCGTTCTCACTGAAGTTTTATGGATCAATTTCCGTGTTTTGATTTATAAAATGGATGGTTCAATATCTCTGGTCAAAGCTGTTTGTGTTATTTCCTCTGTGCAGGAGGGAGAGGTTTATGCCATTGAGACCTTTGGCAGCACAGGTAAAGGTGTGGTGCACGACGACATGGAGTGCTCTCATTATATGAAAAACTTCGACATCGGACACGTTCCCATCAGGTAATCGTTTGTTCTCTTTGTAATCGAAAAATAATCGTCAAAATAATCACGAGCAGTGACTGAAGTTGTTAAAATAAGAAAAATGTCAAGAGCGTTTACGTGTTTGACAGACACGCGGGCACAAACACAAATATTCCCAGTCATAAGTTGGTGGTCTTCAAATGCAGTCATGAGGTTGAGGTAGCATTAGTTCAGTCTAATGTCGGCACGACATTGTGCTGGATTGTTTTCCAGCATTCCGAAATGTCGCCTTGCTGTAGGCTGCTTCCTAAATCCAGGAATCTCCCTTTTGTAGACAGGATCACACACACACGTCCTGTTCTCAAACCTGAGAATGCTTTAATTGAGAAAGACTACGAGTTAAACTCTGAAATCTTCAGAGATTGTGGGGTAGTATAAGTAGGAACCTATGTAAACAGTGAGGTTCAGCCATTCAAGGATCCTCTCTCGTCACACTGGTGATACAGTGGAAACAAACTAAAATCGGTTTGCTCCGTTCATTAAGTGGCACTTGCAGCAGCCAAAAGCAGAATTTGGATTAAAAGTCCTTTCAGTCACATGAACACCAGGAACAGAGATTTACAGAGGACGGAAAAGAAACTGAGCAGTTCCAGGGAGTGAGAAGATATAGGGGTATTCTAGCAAAACTGGACCGGCAGCAAATGCGAAGGACAGTGCATGAGAAGTTCTTTCAGCCCAGCTGACATGACATCACACATGATGTCATTCATGCATCTTATCAGACGTAGATCTTGTCAGTGTGGCAATTTTGATGCAGTGAGGAAACAGCAGTGAATGGACAGTGTAGACCGGCACGTGATAAAAGTCGGACCTAGGGAACATGAGTGAAGGCCCAGAAAAAGACCAAACCTGTTAAACCCCACTGTCACTTCCTCCTCCTCCTCCTCCAGGCTGCCCAGAGCTAAGCACCTGCTGAATGTGATTAACGAGAAATTTGGCACGTTGGCCTTCTGCCGACGCTGGCTGGACCGCCTCGGAGAAAGCAAGTACCTGATGGCCCTGAAGAACCTGTGTGACCTGGGCATCGTGGACCCTTACCCTCCGCTCTGTGACACCAAGGGCTGCTACACCGCTCAGTTCGAACACACCATCCTCCTCAGACCCACCTGCAAGGAGGTGGTGAGCCGGGGAGATGACTACTGAACCCACGCAACAACAATACCGACCCCTAACCACCGATTTAAAGCCCCTTGCTCTGCCGACCAACACCACCTCAAAACACCCTGCACTTTTGAATCCAGTTAGTGTCTCTTGCGTCAGCAGAAAGCTTCAGGATTGAATCGCTCAAGTCACAACCCGCAACAAGGTTGTCTTCTTGCGTGCTCTAATCGACCGCAGCTCAAGGAAAATCGCAGACAAGCAAAAACAGTTTCCGTTGGAAGAATGGCAGTTTCATCCAGATCTTCATCAGACCTCATTTAATCAGATTTACCAGTTACACCAGTATTCACAGTCATCCCCCTTCATTTAAAGTTCTAATCTCCTGCGTCTCCTCTCTGAACCTCCTGATCTTCAGCTCTTGCATTCAAGTTAAATGAAGGTTTTCAGCAACAATGCATGGCCAGAAACTCTTTCATACAGTATACCGGCTGCACAGCTGCACGTCTGAGTTTCGCTTCTGCCACGACGGGTGTCAAAGCACAGGGGCTGGGGCTCTGACCCCGAGTCGTTGTTTTCTTTGATATTTATAAAATATCTTCAAACTGGCTGCCGCCACTGAAATGTTCCCACTTTTAAAAAAAACAAAAAACTTTCGTTTTGAAAAACTCCCTGAAAATGTTTTTGTATGAAAGTTAAAAAAAAATTAAAATAATTTTTGCTCAGATGTGTCATCTTGGATTCTTTTCTCTTAAAAGAGACATTAACGATGCAAGAAACGTGAGGTTTGGTCCGACACTGACCAGGTTACAGCTCCGATTTGACAATTGTGATCCTAATTAATGACAATCATGGTTCAGCTAGGTAAATCATTCCTAAATATGACAAAATCTATAGGTAGATATTTGAGTTTCACAACTCAAGTTTTTATTTGACTAAATGTTGATATTAATAGTTATGGAATATGAGCAGATAAGTGAAAATTTAGCTTCAGATTTGATGGGTATTAGTCATGACTAAAAATCGTGACGATGACTTCTAGCAGTGATTCTGCTAACAGTCATCAGGTGCCAAAGAATATTATCCAATTTCACCACTAAGTGGCAGCAGATGGCTTGTCTTTGTCATTACCTGTGAGCACATCCGTGTTGTATTCAACTGAATAGGCACTTCTTTCCCCTGACCCCTGAAATACTTGAATACTTAAGTGAAACAAACTTTCTTGCCTTGTTAAAGACAGCATGTTTATCAACCATTTTATGCAGTAACTACACGTGGATGGACAGTGTGTGTCACTTCAAAATGTAATGTTTGATGCCACCGTCTCTACTTGCAGTCAAGTTGTCATGGCTTACGCCGTACCTATGGCTCCGAAACGTTTTCCACAACCTTTGCCAACCTTGATATTGTTCATTTGTGTTATGGTATAGAATGTATATAGTACGAATTAAGACAAAAGTTCTGTAGAAAAATGAAAAAATATTCTCATTTATTGAGGTAATTTTTCTCTAAGAAAAAGAAATTGAGGTAACAATTTGCATAGTAGAACTTCCTCATCTTTACAAACATACATACACACGGCCATTCCACGGATTAGTAAAAAAAACAACTATGAAGTAAAGTGTGCTTTGAATGACAGTAAATCCATGAAGGAAGGTGACATGACGATAAATATCAGCATCTGTAATGCAGGTACTTTACTATTACTTAAGCTCACACATACACACACACACACTTACACTCACGCAGCAGTACTGAACTACAGAACAGTGAACTCTCACATTATCTGTTGCTGGTTTAAAAATCAAGTTGGTATAAAACACAGTTCATGGCCTTGTCGTTGTTTTTAAACCTCCAATGTGTGCATTGTAGAAAGAATACATTCATCATGTAAATGCTGGTTTGTGTGCTGGTTCCGATTTATGTTAATTATAAAAATATAGTTTTTTTAATTTTCCAAAAAAGCAAAAAAAGAGAGGGCACTTTTTTCCAGTTTGGTTGGTTCAGACTCTGACGACTGTTACATTCTGCAGCTGACAGGTGAATTAATTTGGCCAATAAAAAAAATCCTTGGAAAATTATTCATCAAACTGGGTTTGGAAAAAAAAGTTTTGTTTTGGAAAGTGGAAAGGTTTTTATTTTACACCCCCACGGTCCACACATGGCTTTGGCTTGAGATTTGATGATTCTCTTCATGAGATTCAAAAGTAGAAACACTGACTTCTTATCCTCTGTGTGTGCATCTATATATCTGATATCGTTATTGACCCAATGCAGGAGTCTAGCTTTAAAAAAAACAAACAAACAGTGCATTTTTGGCACAACAAATATCAAATGCAGCAGCCACTTGATCATGTACGAGGTTTAAATTTCTTTTCGTATTATTCCTTTTAGTGAAGCGCTGTCCAGTTGTGTTCATGACTCCTACAGTGTCTGTGGAACACTGGAGTTGAACAAACCCACAGCATTTACAATCAACAGATGAGCACATCAATAAACAACCTGTAGAGGGCACTCAGGTGCATATTAGGACTGTCATTGTTTCAGTTGTTTATGGTGAGATTGCCTTTTTTGGTGTTCTCACGTGAACACCATCTAACAGTGTCAAAGACGTGGACACGTGAAACACGCTGGAGCTCCACACAAACTATGATCAACTATGGTGTAGACCAGTGTGGAATTTGTGTCCTCTGTGGTCCAGTGATGCAGTTGCCAATGTGAGCACTAGAGGCACCAGGACTTAACAACCCAACAAGAAGAAGAATCTCAGTGAAGCTAGCATTACTTCCAGTGTCAGGGAAGTAGTTGCAAGTGTTGTTGTAACATCATGGTCTGTTGTGTAGCAGAGTGGTTCCCAGTGTAGTGGGCATGGAGGTAATTTGGGGGGAGTGGCGAGGTACATCAATTTTGTAGTAGTTACATTTTAAACGCAGTTCAGTGCAGTTCTGAATCAGCTGTGAACAAGTTGATGTTGGGGCACGTGACAGGTCCAAAGATGTTTAACACAGCACCACAGTCTGCAGTCTTTACAGCAAGTCCACCATTAGCCTGTTTTCCTCGACTAGCATTAGCACCAAGCGCAAGGTCTTTGTGTGACTATCTAACTTTAAGTCTGCACATAATATTAGCAAATACTGATATCATTTACCACCCTTGATGGTATTTCTGTTGAAACACGAGCTGTGCAAAATGATCTCTTCTGGTGCAGGCAGAGAGGCAGGTTTAGTTAGCAGCTAATGCTATTGGGAAAACGATGAAACAGAAAAACTTGTTTCTGTTAGATCTGTCTGTTAGACTGAAAGGATATTCACTTCAGACCACCGATTTTTACAGTGGTCGGCACCGCAGCACTTTGGGTGAGGCGAGTATTAGGGGTGAGAGACAACACACTCAGACGAGAAGGAATGGATTGATGTGTTCCACAGTGAGACAGAAGAATGACTCTTCCACTGAAGGAGAAAAGAGAGGAAGTATGATTATGATTATTTAAAGTTTGGATTTTGGACTGGAGCCCCCAGGTTTGATTTTGGAATCATGGATCTTATGACAGCCCTACTGTACATCTGTAGTCACCAAAGACCAGAGCGCAGTCTGGTGGCTGCTACTGAGACACATCTCAGCGGATACACTCCTATTTATAATAAAAAAAATGTTTAACTTTAAAACAATTAAAACAACCACAACCATTTTTTCTTTAAAAAAAATACCTACATATAAACACCATATACAAGAAGTTCAGTTTAAAAGGAGTCTTTCCTCTCTTTAAAAATAGTCGTCCTCCCCTGGATAAAAAAAATGCCCAAAAGAAGAGGAGAGCAGTGCGATGAAGGTGGAGGCTGTGCTGATGTGATCATCTCAGTGGTAGGTCAGGTCAAGCTGTAGAGGAGCAGGTGTAGGAGGAACAGTGGTGGCTGCAGGGCGGAGGTGGTCCTATAGCGGCGCCCTGTCTTTGTCCCGAGGTACTCGCTGTGTGTAGAAGAGGATGTAGGCCTGAGCCCGGCACACCTCCTCCACTGAACACACGTTCATCTTAGAGTCATTACAGTGAACCCAGAAGCCTATGGGGGAGAGAGCCGTTAGTCCAGAGCAGAGTGTTCTAAGGAATCTCAAGAGCCACTCCTACTGTTTCTGTTCCAACATTCATAACGATTTCAGTACAGACTACTTCACATTTAACAAGAAGCTACAGTCCAAAACTCATGTCCATTCTCAGCGTAGACAATGGACAACGTCTTTCATTCCACACCTTTGACCTCACCTCCTTCTGTGTTGTAGCAGTAGGCGGTGTAGTGGCCAGAGCCAAAGCCCTTCCCATGATGCATCACCACGGCAGAGAGCTCATAGAGGAAGTGCTTGGTGCGCGGTGAACCCGGGGAGCTGGGACTTGAGCAGGTCACACCATTGGGCGGGGTCTCCGTGCAGCAGTACGGCTCCATATTGAGGAGCTGGTCGAAGCTCACGTGAACTCCTATCTTCTCCCGGTGGTTTCTCCCCGACCACCTGACGACCGATGCCCAGAGAGGGAGCGAGAGAGGAGTTAGTTTGATGGCAGATGAATGTTATTAAAAATCTGTGAGAGTTAAACTCCCTTCAACTATGGTGTGGTGAAGGGACGTTGTTGTTGTACCTGAAGCGTTTGAGGTGAAGCCTGAGGACTTGAGGCAGTTTGTGGACCATCAGCTGTTTCTGAGCTTCGGTCCGAATGAGGGGTTTGGATGAGCTCCGCCTTCGTGCAGCTGCAAACCACGGTGAGAGTGAGTGAGTGAGTGAGTCGGCAACAGCTCAAACCAAATATTGCACAACATGTGGGAAAGCAGGTCTGACACACCTTTAACTTAGAACTCAGATCAAAACATTTAGTTGGAAACTTGAAGTAGTTTTTCTTTTTTGTAAATGACAAACCTGACCTTTACCATCGGTTTTATTTTAAATTACACAATAACTCACAATTACACTTGTCGCAGGCGTAGATGTTTCCCTCCAGGGCTTCCGTCTCTGTGAACTTGGCCAACATCTCAGTCAAATGACAGGCAGCCTGAGTGGCCGACTCCCTGCTGTTACTGTGATAGCGCTCGGGAAACTCCAGGGACAGATCCCAGAACGACTCCACAGTGTTGGAGCGATGGCTGCACGCCAGACACGTCACCTGTCCGCCAAAAGAAAAAAAAAAACGTGAGCACATTACAGTTTCCAAAACTCCGTAAAATAAGAACACATCACACAGCGTGGTCTTTTCATATACAGTACAAATGTGAACTAGCGATTATCCAACGATTATGAGAAAATTCAAATGCCATCTATGACTGGGCTGCAACTTTAACCATGGGATAGATTTTCACTTTAACCAATGGATGCTCGCTTCAACACGACCAGGTGTAATGAGCTGAAAAAAAACAATTTATTTACTAGTTGTGCCTTGATATAATCTTCAACACGATCAAGTTTATTTACTAGTTGTGCCTTGATATAACTTTTTTTCCATGTCTGACACTGATACCTCAGCTAGTATCTGAGTATCTGCCAATATCGATATCAAGCATGTAGCGCCAGTTAAGTTGAGCATTTGGGCTTGGCTATCAGATTGGACGGGCTAAAGTTGTTTTTCAATATCTGATCTTAAAATTTTGACCAATATCAGACAGGTATTGGAGCCACCCCTAGTATCTACTTCAGGCACCACGAGTTAAATAATAAAACTGTGACGTTTGTTCTCTGTGGTTCTGAAGGAAGAGAAACTGATTGACAACTAAAGGTCTGTGTCTTTGACTGTTGCTTGAGTCACACACTGCTGTCTATTGGTCTTAACACTCGTCTTAATCAGTTACCGGTGTGTGATTATGGGTGAGAGAGTGTGCATGTGTAGTACCTGACTCAGCAGCTGACCATGGAAGATGGTGTTGACCACACTCAGCACCTGCTTAATAAGTCTTTTCTGCGTCTGTGGAACTCCAGCTGAGGTTGTGTGTTTGCCCGTGCTCTCTAACTCATGCTGCACCTTGTCCAGCAGCTCACACAGGAACTCTTGTGCGTCCTGCTGCGCGTAGCCTCTGAACGCGGGGATCAGTTGCCACACTGAGTGCAGCATGGCGAACGGCGACACCAGCGCCCACTTGCCAGACCACATCACCTGGAACAAGGTGTGCAGCTCGTGGCAAAGTGAAATGTGTTTGGAGCTCGGCTCTTTGGGTTGTATTAGCTCCATGTTGCGAGCCCGTGACGCCCCGCCACTGAGTCCCACCCCTGGGCCCGAGTTTGTCTCGAATCCCTTCCTCTGGGACAGGGCAGAGTGTGAAGGGGTCTTCCCTGTCAGTTTGCCATGAACAGCTGTTGCCAGTAGCTCCAGTGCCTGGGTCAAGTCCAGGCGCAAAAAACACTCCCTGAAAACATGCAGATGACTCAGGACCTGCAGGATGGAGTTCATATAACAGGTGTTGCCTAAGTTCCTCAAGCCTGTCACTCCAGGAGTGACTGTGGGACGCCGTTTAAAAGGAGAACCACCCTGTTTGGTGCTTGGCCTGTTTTGGACAGATGTGTGGCTACTACGAGTACCTGTGGGGGTTTTAGATTTGTGTTTGTTTGCAGATGGACTTTTTCTGGATTTAGGAGGGGGTTCACTCTTTTTAGTCCTTTGAACTTTTTTGGGGGCGATAGTTGCAGGGCTCTGAGTCCTTGGTCTATGAGGGAGGGTCAAACGCAAAGGGATTTTCACCTTGTTTTGTGAGGTTTGGGGTTGATTTTTGACTGCACTTTTCTGGGTTTTCTGGCATAAACGTAAGCTTTTTCTTAAAGGAGCATTCTCCAGCTCCACCTGTAGTTGTCTCTTTAAAGCACGCCTGCGTTCTCTGGCTTCCCTTTTCAGCTCCTCTTCCTCCTCCTTTTTTCTCTCTTCCACCTCTCTTTTTTTCCCGCAATCCGTCAGTCCAAACCAGGAACGAAAAACGCGCCCCATAAGCGTTCGTCTGCGGTGCCAGAGAGCAGTAAACATTCTGTCCTCGTCCCTCAGCTGCAGCTCCTGAGCACCAAATGGCATAGGTGCATCAATGGAGGCAGTACCAGAACGCAGCGTACGCCCACTGCGAGTGGTTACCTCATATTGTTGGCTCTGAATGGCACTAAGTGTGCTGCGGAGCAGCTTGAGGTCTCCAGTGGCATTGTCGTTCAGGACATAATCGTCACACAAGTAACAAAACACGTACAGCTCGTTAACTTCCATTGCCAGGGGATGTCGCTGTTGCTCGAAGTGCTGGAGTGCATGTTCCTCAATGTAGCGCCCACACGCCACATGAGCACAGCCCAGGCAGGCCCATATGGACTCAGTGGTGTTGCAGTCAACACAGTGCCACTTCTGCGGGTTGAGAATGGAGTGGTCCTGGGCGAGCCGCAGCCGGCCCACATGTTTACATCTGTCCATTCTTCACGCAGGTGGTCGGGCCTGGCAGGCTGGCTGCATCAGACAAAACCCGACCGTTGGTGACCAAGTCTGGGTTTGTGTGCGTTTCACACAAACTTCATGTCAACATGATGACCATGGTGAGCTGGATTGTAGCCCTGCCAGGGCATGGTGGGATCTAGAAAAGAAAAGTAGGGGTTCGTTTGGTCAAGAAAAATCATTTGTTTATGTTTGACTTTAGAGGAACAGACAATGTCTGATTAATGGCTGTCGGTTGTGGTTTGCCTTTAACAAAATCACTACATGGAATGAAACTATTGACTTTTGTGGACAATCAGTTCTCGATCGCTACAACTGCATAATCCAATGAAGAAGAAAAAAACTTGTGATTTTGTCAGCTGGGTATCGCAGTGTCAATCAATTTAAAGGTACAGCACATATGACATATGCTGTTAAGTGTTAAATGTTATGTTGTAAAATGCAATGCTTGCTGCCAGGGAACTTGATCGGAACAATGGCGCAATGATAGTATAGAAGTCATGTTTATCTTTTTATGGTTTAATTATCATCCGTGGTCCTCCTTCAGCAACTATTCACCCTCACAGGCCAAAAGAGCAAGTGAAGCCAAACAGGTTTGGTGTACTGTACTATATTAAAATCATGTTCTTCTGTTTAAACACAACAATACATAAGTCACACATAAACATATAAGTCACAGTAAAGCCATTTACATGATCAATTTCTCCATACATCACAAGGGTGAAATTAGATGTTGTGAAACAGTTATTTTAGTTTGCTATGGGCTTATGAAGCTGTAAATAAAAGATGTTTTAAGGGCACATCCTTTCTGTTATACTTCTACTTAAACAACTCTTTGGTGTTTACAACTGCAAAAACATGGAATAATCGCTAAAAATGATGAAAGCATAATTCCCTAAAACGATTGCCAATATACATGCATTCTCTTCAACCTCCCTGTGGATTAATGTGCTCATGTGGGATCGCTGAGTGGACCACTTACGTCCATCAACAACCCCCACTGAGGTCACAGAAGATTCTCTTACAAAGGGAGGGCCTGAGTTTGCTAGTGTTGTGTTCTTTGTCCATATGAACTTATTTGGTATGGAGAGGGGAATGAAAAAACAGAACAGAAAATGTGTTTTAATATCGGACCTGTTAGAATGGTAGCCTCATCCACTACATTATAGCAATGTTTATCTGAGCAATAATGTAAGCAGTAAAGAGAAAACTGTTATAGTAATGTTAGCTCTGGGTTCTTTCAAGGGTAGTCTTCTTTCCACAATTTAAATGACAATTGGTCTATTTTTTTACTGACAACTAGACCAACCAATATGTCAAAAATCAAACAGATTACTCAATAATGGTACCACTCTAAAAACTGGTAATTGAACGCAAATGGTTTATGCTGCAGTTCTCAGGGGCAGCTGGTATTACAATCAATGAAATGAAAATAACATCCCTGAAGTGATCCTTTTTCACCATCCGTCCTTAAGGAAAACGATCTTTGACATTAAAATTAGCCAAAACTTCGATTGACGCAGCGTTCTTTAAAAATAATGTACACAGTTTTAAAATGTGAAAGACTATGACCATCTATGCAAATGTGGCCACAGGTTGTTTTTTTTTATTCTTTGATTTTAAGATAACCAACACTTAAGCTGTCAGGTGTGGAACGTGTCATTGTGTAATATATCAAAGTAAAAAAAGAGATTTTTAAAAATTGTTTCTGAGAGTTTCGAATTGCCGCTAAAGGGTAAATCAGCAGCTTAGCGCGCTTTGGTTTGGTTTGTCCTGGTGACTTTAAGAGGACGCACAGCACGCACAAACACACACAGCTGCACTTTACACAGTGAGAATCAAACACATTTAAACAAACAAAAACAAAACTTACAATCAGCGTTCATCACAACGAAAGTCAAGGTAAGGTTTGTCCAATCAGCTCAACTTATCGAACCCGTGTTCTACGGCTAATGCTAAGCTAGATGTCGTATCAGGAATTGTGGTTGCAAAACATTGAATTCAAAAACAAAATATCCCGGGCTGCTGTAACAATTTCTGTAAAATTATTTTTTGCGCGTCTTAGAATACATTTACACCGCACACAACGAGGCGACGCCATTTCTCATGTCAACACCGTCGTTTCTATTCTAAATATGAAAGAGATTAAAGGCACTAAGCTATCGTTAGCCTAGCGTGCTAAAGGAGCGCTAACCAGGGTGACGTTAGCATTAGCCTGTATTGCTAACAGTGGTGAGTTCTGCACAAGGGTATATACTTCCTGTTTTCAGGAGAAGGGAACCTGTGCTGCGTTGACGAAAAATATGTGCGGTCCATTATAATTACAATTTAGAATACGGATTTACTGTGACACCTTACAAACAAACATGTTAAAACTGTAACATGCTGCTATTTTACTTGAACAGTCTTAATTCCCATATAAAAATTTAAGGAACGCATTAGTTTCTAACTTTGACTTGAACGTGCAAGTTCCTATAATTTCTTTTAACCTTAAAAAATCACTTTTGACGCGACCTGGAACATCAGCCGAATTACTTAAAGTGTATGCCTTTTCTAGTGATAATAATACATTTTTCTGTTGTGCTTAAAATTTCCGTTACAAAAAGATATGCAATTTATCAAAAATAAAAAACAAAAAAGCACAAATTAAACCTCACATTGTCGCTCATGCGCATAACAGATATGTTGTCTTCTCAATTCTTTAGTAATAGCTTAGCACGCAAGTTTATGTTAGCATTAGCCTGGCATGCTAATAAGAGCACCACTCAGTGAATCGTCACCACGAAGTTGGTGCCGTTAGCCGGAAAATAGGTGAAGGAGGCGGATGTCAGATACCGGGAACCTGGCTCCTGTACTATGAAAAGGATTCAACCTTTGTCGGATGTGTACATTTGTTTCCAACGAGAAACTCAATTCCCGTTATGACGCGATCAAGGGCACATGGCTAAAGGCAGTGTTAGGAAAGAAATGATTGTACCTGACCTCTCCTTCACGACAGTAACTCCTCAGTTTTTAAAATGATCGCCATCTTGTTGATCCATGTGTCGCGTGGTGTTGGCTCAGGCGGGTCCAGGAGTCGTGACGTAGATGTTGTTGTTGTTGTTGTTGTGGGTGATGGCGATATAGATGGAAACTTTGGTCAAAAAATGAAAACAAAATAAAAATTGGTTTTCAGCAGTGCCAATTGGTACTAGTGATGTTATTTTTATAAATTAAAAAGAATCCTATCATCCGGTAGTTCTAGCTGGTGATGAACGACTTAACAGCACTGATTACGTGCCATGAATCACGAGGACTTGGGTTGCACATGTCTTATTGTCAGTAATTTCATTTAGATCCGAAAAACTGGTGATTTAAAATTTGACTGTACTTTGCTTTTTCATGATACAACCTTTCTAAATAAAGGTGATAATGTTTAACACAGATGCTGTGTGTAAACCTCCTGTCTATAAGAGCAGTTTCCTTTTCGTGTATTGTAAAGGTTCCTTTAGAGTGATCCCTTTCAGAATAATTGGTTTAGTCAGTTATCACTTTGCAGGTTAATATTGAACATTGTAAAGTATTATAAACACTGCACAAAATTGCTTTTTATTACAAACATAAGAATAATTGCACTTTTATACCACAAGAGGGAGGCGTAGCATCACTCAAGTCCCACTACTGATTATTACTATCTAGCGCAAACAACTCCTTAAGGGGTTGCCAACGTTTTTTATATCATGTACCCATCCCGAAAATATTTGTCAATCCCAATACCACCAGTGTGACCAACACAAAGTACACCTGCAGAGATCTACACTGTTTAGCTAAGACCAGAATATGTAGGAGAAAATGCATTAGAGTGTTTATGAAACGATGACGCTGCACAGTTAAATAGTACTATAACTGGTAATTCACCTGTATTCTGCAGTGAAATACGCACGAAGGGAGAAAGCAAAAATAACAACTAAAAGTCTTCCCAAAATCTTATAGAAATTAGATTCCACTGTGTGTCACTAGAGGGAGCCCCAGGAACACCAATGGTTTGGTAACGCATATTATAGTCGAGAACAAGTTAAGAGATGAGAGAGAGGAAAAATGTCTTTACACAATTTTCCTGTCATTACCTTCTTATCTCCTGTTAATAGGTGACATGTGATGCATGAGGTAGATTTTTCCAGGTCTGGTTACAGAAATCCACCAGGAGAGCTGTCTGGATGAAGCTCTTCATAACCTAATTATCATTTTGATCTCCACTCATACATCATAGCGATGTGTTTTTTTTTTCTCCCCCACTCATTCCCACAGAACCCGAGTGTGAGATCCGCACATTTCTCACCACTCTCTGGCTCTGCTGTGACAGCTGTGAAGATAAAAATCTACATTTAATCTTGTAGAAGAAATGAAAACTCTTGACAATAATGTTCTGAGTCTGGAAAAGGTCGCATGTGGTTAAATCTTTCTTACGCAATAAAAGCGTACTCTGATAATTAACCTGTTAACCACACTCCTGTTTATCTCCATTATTCAGTGTAAGGTAACACAACATTCTCTAGCATCTAGCATCAGGTTTTTTCAGGGTTACCATTTAGTTATTGTGTGTGAAAATATTTGGCCCTCCCAAAAAAAGATCCAAAACAAGTTCTTGAATATTTATTGTGTGTATGTGTGTGTGCATGTGTTCTGTGTTTCCCTCAGGTATTTCTAAATTCTTGCGTGCTGGTGTGGAATACACTTGTAGCGCTCCATGCTGGTTAATAGGGGCTGGTGGTACTCACTGTGTTCCTCTGAGATCTTATCAGTCCAGGATCATGTTTTCACAAGGAAACAACACTTTACTCTCTCCTGTGTGTGGATTCCCAAACATCCTGCTTCCATCAATGGCCAAAACAATCAACCAACTATAAAGACAATTTTTTGGGGAATTTTTTTTGTGTAATTTGACAATTTCCTTTCTCCCCTTAACATTCAAAAAGGCACTGTGAGCTATCCATATAAATATAGAATGGATTCCAAACCATTTGTCAGGGCAAATGTTTGAGGTAGCACAGTTTTAGCCAACCACATGGAACAGCACTAGTGTCTTAGTTCTAGTTCTGTGACCCGTGAACAGACGGTGTCCTGTGTCTTAGTTCTAGTTCTGTGACCCGTATCACCTTAGAATTTCTTTGGTAAATAGGCAGAGAATAAGTCCAAAGAAATGATCTCTGAGCTGATGACAGTTACAGGACATGACAGTACAGGCTGCAGGAACATGACAGTAATTTCACTTTTTTTTCTTTTTTAAGTCAAACATTAAAAAAAGAGAACAGAGGGAGGAGCAGACTTTCATTCACCAAACCGTGCCTGAAGCAGAACTTTTCATCTCCACGCACGCACCCTGGCTGCATATGTGAAGAATCCCTCTCATTTACTGATAAGTGTGGAACTGATCCCTCTTAAAGACCCTTTTGAACAGCAGGGGAAAAAAACCCTTTGCATTCAAAGCTCTGTGTTTGGAACTGCACACGAGCGTGTGTGGATGATGATGGAGCAGGGGATTGTGGGAGGCAGACTAAGGGCCATTTGTGAGTGACTTAGAGAAAGAGGTACGTGTTGATGCACCATGTGAATCCTCTGAATCACCTCTAATGTTTTTCTCACTCCGTGTCCCCAGGCCTTTCCCGCCTTCATGTCCACACATGCTAAGCCTCCCCTCCTTCTTTACTGTCCTCTTTTCATCTCATCAGACTCTCACACGTTTGACTATTACTTTACTACTGTTTGTCCTAGTGCTATTACACACAGGCCTCAGGTGGATTTAAGTGATTTCCGCAAAGTTAAACAAACTGACTAATTGTTTAACCAAACCTTTGTCATCAACATGTTTTCGTTCAATAGAGGAAGAATGTGCTAGGGGGCATTGTTTTCAACAAGACTGTCATAATTTAACAGAAATTCCAAAAGTCATTTAAAATGAAAGAAAAGCTTCAAAGGACAGGCTTTTAACACTGTTAAACACTCCACGTGTTCGGTAGCACAGTGGTTTGTGAGAGATTAGGCAGTTGCGCCCAGAGCACAGCTTAGTTTCAGGTCTTGATCCAACACTAAAGGCTGAACAGTTTTGTTGGTTTTCTGGTAGCACGTAAACAACAGCAACAGATAACGTTAGCCCTGAACTCACAAATGTGACACTGAAGTCTGGAGATTTTTTGGAAACATGAAATACCAGAGTTTTCTACCTCTAAATTTCTTTACTGCCAAAAAATGCCTCTGTGCCTGCACACATGGAGCCAAACTCACATGACTTTCAAGTATGGTGCACCGCTCTGGTAGAATATGACTTTGCTAAGCTTAAACTTTCAAGTATGGTGCACTGCTCTGGTAGAATATGACTTTGCTAAGCTTATTTGAGCTAATCCTCCAAGAAGAGACGCATGTGCTCGTCTAGATGTTGAAGAACTACCTGAACTTAAAAAATCTGTATCTTAACCCTGTGGCTTCTAATTCTCTGACAAAACCTGTAAAATTTACTGTTGAAATGAGGCGTAGTACGTTTAAAGAACGATTAAAATACCATAAATACCGTTATTGACAGATGTGGTTTTGTCTTGTTGTGTTCAGAGAAGACAAGCTGATAATTTGGGCGAGAGGAAGCCATTTCCTGTGATTTGATGGTGGTGTTAACACAGCTGGGTACACTCTTGTTTTTTTTTTCTCGGTGGGCGATAACACAGGTGCCGGTGCAGCCAGAAAAAAAAAGCTTTATAATTAGCAACATAAACACATCTCCTGTAATTTTCGGCAGCCCGGTGGCTTCGGCGCAGTGTTAGCCTTGGCTACTTGACAGCTCCTGATGGTTAATCTTGTTTTCCCAGCATGCCGTGGGGGTCTTTTATTTCACTGAATGTTTGTGCGTGAGTTGGTGAGTGTATAATGACTGGATGACATCAGGTGCTTGTTTACTTGGCCGTGTGTAATAATCGGCAGCAGTAGCATCGTGATTGCAATGCTGTGTCAACACAGCAGAACTCCCTGTTCTGTTCTGGCCTGCTCTGATGCTGCAGGTAGAAAAACATTGTGTGTCTGCGTACGTGCGTGTGTGTGAGAATGTTTTCATGTGTAATTAAGTCAAAGCAAAGGGAGAGAGTTGAAGAGCTCAGTTCAGAGCTTGCGTCCTGGTCAGGACACTTCCATCTGTAGCTGAAGGGACTGACAGATCAGTCACCAGTCAGTTTTCAAGTATTTACTATGACTTTACAGGCCAGTTATATCACATAACATTTTGTTGTTCTACCAGTCTGAGACAATTCTGCTACTTTTTGATTTGTAACGTTAGCAAACACCACAGTGATTGTTTTCTGGGGGTAATTTTGGGAAAATTCCAAATTTTTAACTATTAGCTGTGCGTATGGAAATTGGGAAAATTCAAAATTTTTAACTATTAGCTGTGCGTATTTGTTGATAATAGCTTGGATGCATACATGTTTTTAAATGTTACCTAAGGTATTTGTAAATTAATGTTACTGAGGATTTTTGTAACTTGGTTTAATAATATGTTTTATTTATACTTTATTTATCTAGGAAACATTTACTTCTTTTGTTACTTCTGTTGTCTTGGCTAACTTATACCATTGTTAAGGCTAACCTTTAAATTCCGACTTTCTTTGGCATCAAGTTACAGCATAATTGTAAAATACTTTTTGCCATTTCCTATGAAGAGCACACTAGGAAATATTCTTCTCTTTTTAAGCAATCTTTAGCTATTCTCTTAGAATCTGAAATCATCCGTTGGCTAACATTTTGCTTGTAATGTGTACCAATCTGGTCCGGGAGCTTCTGTGACACCCACAGCACAACTGTGCGTCTGTCTCAGGGTGATGGGTGCTACCAAAGAGGGGCATCGTGGCTCTCGGTTAAAGCAGCAGCAGCAGGAGGAGGAGGAGGAGAAAAAGGAGGAGGGTGGAGGAGGTTATTGTCCCTGAGCCTGCAGGAGCTGCCACACACTCCAGGGTCCAATAGCAGCACAAGAATGTTGACAGGACAAAGGCCATAACTCTATTCTCTAGCAGCACAAGCGGAGCATTGTGTTCGTACAGACACACGGGGACACATTCATGCCACCACAACAATACCAGACACGCACACATACATAAGTATTACCACAGCAAAACATGCGTCTGTGTGGCAAAACATGTCAAAATACTCATCCATCAAGAGCGTTCCCACACCAGTGACTCTCCCCTACCCTCACCCCCGGCCTCTCTAAACACCTCTATCACAGGCTCACGATAACCAATCAGTGTGAGAACAATGAGCACATAGCTAAAAAGAAACATAAATAAAAATATAAATAAAAAAAGACGAAGAAGTGATGTCCTTGCCTCAGCTGCGGTGGAGTGTGTGGAGCCGTTTTTTGTTTTTTTCATTATAGCCTCCTGTGGTTGTACCATCTCGAGCACCTTTCTTGCCTTGCTGACGTGAATGCCTGCACTTGACCGTACTGAAACAAGTAATCTACATTAAGGGGTTCTGAAAGTCAAGGATCATCTTCTGGTCGACTGGTCCATTTATTGGTCGATACGTTCTGGGTCGACCAAAATTCTGATCAGTTGATTTGTTGTTGTTACATATTTTTGGAGTTAATGGGCTGTGATATTACGCGATCCATGTGATGCAAGTCGCTGTCAGAGACAATCGATTCAAGTGTGTAATTCATTTAAGTGCAAAATAATTAGATAAAAACATGCCACTTTCTTGTCATTTTTGAAACCATGTCACCAAGCAGAAGCTGTGAAACTTGAGAAGTAGTTGATAACATCGTCACAGGCCTTGAAATACCTAATATAAGCTGGACAAAAATAACCATCGCTATCAGACTCTTTCTCTCTCTCTCTCTCTCTCACACACACACACTTTTTGTGTGTGCGTCTTTTCAGATTAGGACGTATCCGTCAGTCTCAGTCCCACAATACTCTCACACTCAAGGTCATAACAGAGAGGCCGAGGCCAGAACACACACTTTGTTTAGGTTTGGACAGAGCGTGTGTTTTCCACATCCTCCTCACCCCCACCCCGCTTCCCTGTGACGTGGTTTGCTGCAAGGTGTGGACGCATTCCAGACACATCCAGCAGCATTCCGGAGCAATCCCGGGGACAGAGGTTCCTCACCTGTCTGCCGGCCAGTGGTCTCACAGGGGGAGCCGTTGAAGGGGAAATGGATGTTTTCCACTCCTGCAGTCTGGTTTCCTCTACTGAGACCACTACATAAATATGTGACACAGATAATTCGTGTCTACGAGCGATTGCTCCCAGACAGAATGCGGAGGGAAGGAAGGATGTGACTAAAAGGATTGTCCTAGTGCCAGTGTAGGAAAACAACAACCAAGTTTACTTGGAGGTGTATGAACTGACAGATAAGTGTTTTACACAGTTGCAATAGATTAGTGTCACTTGCCGGTGGGTAAAGTATCCATGAATGTCCCCAAAAATAAACATTGTAAACTGGGAATGTCTTGATCTGATAGTCAGGATTGATCCGAAATGCAAAATTTCCAATCTGATACCTAACTTTAAGCAACATGCCATAAACAGGGACACTATTGCCTTAGCAGTGACAGCCCGTGGCATGTCGGAGGAGAAAAGAAGGTCTCAGATTGACAGCAGCATCAGTGGATGGTCGAGGTTGCAGTATCAGAATCAGTTGTATTGAACCATCCCAAATGTGATTTAGTTTCATTGCTAACTAAATTTCAAGGTTTGCAGAGCGCAGCTTGAAGGTGGAAATATTAACAGAATAACAGACTAAATAGGTGGCAGTGATGCAAACCAAATGATATGAGAGCCAAAGAATGGAGGCGGTCTAGGCAATCAGGCGTAAAGGTCAGGGGTTAGCAGGATATGCTACACAGAGCCTTCGAGAAGAAAACCTTTGTGTCAGAGAACCAAAGTCATTATTAGGAACCAGGAAGTCATGACAAATTGAATTCCTCACCCACCGCATCAGATCAGGGAGAAATGACATTTACATGACAGTCAAGTTCCAAACAGGCTATCACAGCCATAATAAATGATCTGTCTGCACTGCTTCAACATGTGGAGAAATTCAAAAACAGGCCAACGCTCCAGGTCATTAGAGAGTTCCTGTGAACTTGGAATAAAAATCTCACAAAGGAGCAGCAAAGTGTCAACACCTGCTGTGAAAATAACAGAAAGAATGAAGTTGGCTTTTAGAAATAACACTGGACTTGTTATAAACCAGAACTGTCCTTTATTATAAACTGTCAAAGGGCAAAAAACGGAAGAGGAACAAAAATATTTATATAGATATGTACAAATACTACTGTATAAGACCAGAGCGAGAGAGAAAGACAGAGAGAGAGAGAGAGAGAGAAATCATCAGCATTGTGTAACATGATATGAATCAATACCTGGTAATGAAGCATTACGGTAAAATGGTTAACAAGAGACTTGGCTAAATCTGGAGTGTGCTCTTACAACATGCTAGCTCCAATTTCATACACACACAAACACACACACACACACACACACTAATCCAGACAAATACATTCACGTTTGGGGTAAAAACCCATCACAGGCACACCTGGAGTGGCTTGTATGGCTTTGCACATCACACCCACACACAAACATACTCACAAACTCACACATGTATTTTAGACAGTATGTAAGAAATCGACAGAAGCGTCCTGTCACAAACCTAAGTCCCATTTTGAAGCACAAAGAATGCGTGAATGATGGCTGGGCTACTGTATGTTGTCGGCTGCCAGGGTCATGGTGGATGGTCTGTGGTGAACCACACTTTGTGTCTGCTCCTCTGTGCCAATTCCTGCAATGGTTTATTGTCTATTTTCCTCTAAATAGGAATAAAATGGTGGACAAAATGGGTGTAACATAATGTTTGTAAATGTAAAAAAAAAAAAATTCATATTGCAAGCCTTCACTTTAGAAACCTTCGACCATGGACTTTCCGTGTCCATTTCTTATTTACAGTCTCTGAGGCGTTCCCACACAGCTGCCTCTGTGGTCATGTGTCCAGGGATGCATGGTTCGGTAGCAGACATCTTTTGTCCGTAGCATTGATGATTTGCTCGTGGTGGTCTCCATCCTCTCCATGTGTGTCCATCTTCTTTGTCTTTCTTATGCTAAAGTGCTGCAGAGAGGATGGAGCTCAGTTTTTGCGATGTGAGACTATAGAGACTCGGAAGTGTAGAAATACTAGAATGTAGTCCCTTAAGATATATTGAGTGAAATCAGCTAAAGAATATGTTGCCTGAAGACCGGATAAAGAAGTGAAGGTGATGCCGTTACCACCCTTTTGTGCTTGAAAGTTGTGCCGTTTGCTGCTAGCATCGTGCTCTGGACAACAGCAGAGAAAGAGGGGTTAGAAATGTCCGCACAAATGTCCCAGACAAAGACCCAAGACAGTAAATATTCCACAGCAGGAAGATGTGAAAACACAAGTCTGGTTCCTTGTCCTCATCCTATTAGAAAAGTCTCCTTAAACCACGTGTCCGTTAAACGTCCAACTTTTAACTGTCTACCAGTTGCAGTCTTTGCTGAGCAGTGTGAGGACTTTGCGTCCCAAGCTGGCCTTCCACGGCTTGACAAAGCTCTTCATGTTGACCAAGAGGCGGCCCTGCTTCCAGTCCACGTGTCCCGCCACCAGGTACTCAACTCCTAAGGAATTGAAACAGATGATGGATAATTTAGGAATGATAATTTAATGTTTATACATACTTAGAAGTCAGTGTTTATTTGACCAGATCATCTTACAGAAAGAGCAAAACCAAAAATGTTCACCAACGTTTTGACATCCTTGAGTCAGTGACCTAAACTTGACCTCTGGTGTATCTGCATTTAGCAGTAACAGCCCTCATGGAGCGTGACAATTTGGGAAATGGGACTTTAAATTGACTACTTCACTTGGCAAGTGTGACTATAGGGGGCGCTCCCATGAATGTGTTACAACCATATTCAAAAATCAAGACTTGAAACCCACTGTGAGTCAAAACAATATTTCAGGATGATTTCCTTTGACATAAACCATGTGGGAACAGAACTCTGACCTGGGTTGAGGATGGGGCAGGTGCAGCCCCGTGCGGTCCAGGACTCTGGGTAGAGAGTGACTCGTCCTCGCTGTACCTTCACCTTGGTGTTCTGGCTGAGCACCTTCTGAACTTTGACCTCCACTTCAGCATGTGAGCCTTTGTCATGGGCTGACAGCACTTTCACTTTCAGCACTGTGGGGTTGGGGGGCAGAAGTGAAAAAATGCAGCATGCAGCGTTAAATTTGAACCAGGTCTTGGGTAGAGACTGGGTACGAAGTATTCACACACACTCACCATATGCATAGTTCATGGTGCAGAAGAGTTTACTGCTGGTCAGCGCTAGCTCTTTACACTCACACTTTTCTGCAGGGGAAAAAAAACAAATCACTTTTAATATTTGCATGTATTTTTGCATATATCTGCAGCATCAGCTTTTAGACTTTGACTGTGACTTGCTTTCATTTTTTCATGATTTAAACCTGCTGCCCACTCAACTTGCGGCCAACCAAAAAAGTCCTGGTAAACCTGACATAGAACCAGAAATTTGTGATGTCAAAAAAGCCTAGAGAACCTCTGTTCTAGGGTCTTAACAAGACTGTCATTACTTTAATATTATAGCTTGGTCAACAAAATATGGAGGAAGATGAGTGTAAATAAGACACACACACACACATGCACACTTCCTTTAATTCATCACCTGAGTAGTGCAGGGCAGAGAAGAGTTCAGAAGTTCTGAAGATCCTCACTGGCTCACTGGAGTTGACCTCCAGGTTGTACAGCTCCAGGTCAGAGCTGCGAAAACACACACACACACTGTACATTAACGTCATAATCACACAGCCTGCTAGCATATGCTAATGTACATTAACGTCAATCACACAGCCTGCTAGCATATGCTAATGCTAGCATTATGTTAGCATAATGACCTGATGCTATCAAGATAAAATCAGTCTTTCTGTTGTACCCAAACATGCAGTCACCAGTGAAGGGGTCACAGTCTCCGGCACAGTCACACGGCCGGCAGCCGTAGTCATGGAAACCCCAGTATCCCACCATACACCGGTCACAATAGGCCCCGCCCACACCGGGTTTGCAGATGCAGTTTCCATTGGATGGGTCACAGGGCGAGGCGTCAGCCGCGTGGAAGGGCACGGAGCCCGTGGGGTGACAGTTGCATGCTGGGAAAGGGAAAAAAAAGGGCTGAGATTAATTTAAACCATGTTCCCTAACGAATAATCTTTTCACTAAAATCCAAAACACTCGCCAAGGCAAAAAGAGTTAAAGATATTTACTGAAAACCACATTACAGTGCATTAATAACACATTTCAATAAGTAGAACAGTGAGTCCAAAGGTCTTTGGAAAGCTGACGGTTTACTGACCTCGCAGGTGTAATTTATCACCGCGGCTGTTGATAAACCGGTGTCCAGTTGTTTTTTTTGTGTTGTTGCATTTCTTCAGATAAAAGGCCTCACTCTCTCTCTTATCACCACTTTCTCCCTCACATCGTGTCCCACTCTAATTGTGTGCTGATAATGTGTTCCTTACACAACCTCCAAAAACAATACAATGTTGTCTGTCTCCATGTCCCCATCACAGGAGACACAGCAGCAGGAGACCACAGTCAATGTAATGTAGCAGGGTTAGAGTGTTGCCATGGAGTCATTTTTCTCTTCTGTCCAATGACACAGGGAGCCTGTTAACCACTGTAGGTACTGAATGAACACCCAGAGGGCAGTCTGTGCACTTTCAACTCTTTTATTTACAGACGCGCTGCTTTTAATTTTAGATGATGGGGAAACCCGAAACCAAAATCCTGTCAAGTATACCGATCCGACCCAAGAATGTCATTTAAGATGATTTATAGCTTTTTAAATGTGCAGTATTTTTGTCATTATAGATCGGTCTTACTGTAACTCAAAATGCGAAATTCGATCTTGTTGTTACTCATACTAGAACACTACTGTAGTACAGTCACCCACTGCTGTCGGTATCAGGTACATTAAATAAAGCACTTTAGATGATGGTACATGACACACAAGTGATGCCATGTCCATTTCCTAAAGAAATATTTGAAAACATTCTCAGTGATGTACTTATCCTAGAAGTATATTTAGAATGTTAAAATGTTCTCCAGAAACTGATGCACTTCCATTTGCCTAGTTCTAGGCTAGCCATGAGCAAACTATGGTGGGCTTTTTTTTATTAATTTATAATTATTAAATTATAATATCATAAGGCCTCTGTCATTTTGTCTTTTCCCTGCAATGCCCATGTTTCCCCAATAGATGGCTTGGAAGAGCAGGTCAAAGAAAATAAAAATGGACACCAGCACTGCACCTGGGCCGCCCCCTCCTGCCAAACATTGGAACCTGTTATGGCCCACGAGCCAACAAGTTAGCCCACCACTGTTCTGGACTTTGACAGACAGGACGGCTGTTTCCATTAGCCAAATACAAACACTTCCTGTAAATGGAAGAACATTGTAGAAGGAAGTGAGAATATGGTGCCATACTCTTGTTTTGATTTAAGGCTAATACACATTTGAGGTAAACAGCAAGTTGTTTACATATTTGCAATTTAATTTAATTCTGGGCATGTATTAGCTGATTTTTTTCTTTCTTTCTTTCCTTGGTTTTGTTTAATAGGAGGCAATTTGGGGATCTTTGTCTGAAAAACTTCTGTTTCCTCAGTGTGCTTACAGTATATATTTCCTACTGTTAGCTTGAGTCTGCTAGCTGCTGCAGACGTACCATAAATCGTACCAGTGGGCACAGTTCCTCGGCAGCTTTCAAAAGCTTCAAACCAGACAACCAATCACACGACATCTGCCGCAACACTAAAGATAAGATAAATCACAAGTCAGAGACGATACCAGAGCAATAAAAGCCCTGACTGTTTCACCTGTATAAACTACACTAGACTGATCTGTAAGAGGCACAGATGTTCAACAACTGGAAAAGAACCAAATACTAAAATGTATTTTTCATTCCCAGAGGGAAACTTTGTGGATGTGTGTGTGTGTGTGTGGGTCACACCTTACACTATCTGTGCTTATCTGTCAGTGAGCAGCCCGTGCATGTTAATAATTAGCTGAGATTACTGCGACACCTCCACTCTAATAAGACCTTAACACGTGCAGCAATGTGCTGCATGATCCCAGGTATGTGTTGACAAACCTGCAAGAAGAATTACTCTCATTCTCATGCAGGTTTCTGAGACATGACGAGACACCTGCCTGATGAAAAAAAAACCCAAAAAAACGCACAGTGCAGATAATAAACCTGACTCCAACCTCCACCGAACACATATCCCTGACTTTTCTCCCACTCTGCTGAGAAAAAGTGATCGGGTGTGTTCAAGTTTGCATGGAACTCGACAGGAGTGTTTTCTTTCCCGGGCCCCTCGGAGCCTGGTATGGAAAAAATGTTCCTCACTATGGAGGGAAATTCCTTCATTGTCAGCATGAGCCTACGGTGGGATTTCACAATCGGCACCTTCATGTCATGGGCTCTGTGAATATGCTGTCGTTTTTGTTTTTTTTGCAGGTGTATTACCCCAGAAGGGGTTTTTTAGACACATGTCGGACACTTAAGTCCTATTATCACAAACAAAACACTGAGATCTAAGCATAGATGTACTAAGGACAATAACAGCTAGAGCAGGGGTTCCCAACACCTGGTTCGCAGACTGGTACTGGACTGTACGTCACAGTGTGTGTTGGGACACAGTGAAAAATTTACTTCATTTTTTTTACTAATTTACTTCATTTCAAGATAATCAAAATATGTCCTCCAGACTACTACTACTAATGGAAAGTCTAAAAGCTGTTTTATTTTATAAACTTACTGATCCCTCGACGACAGCACAGGCCAGTACAGACTAACCATTGGGGGCATTAGTTAATGTTGTAGGTTGATGGAACATTGGTTTGGATTTAACGGTGCTGGTTCTGCAGCATGCATCCAGGTTTGGACGGTAACTTAAGTCCTACTGTCTAGTGCATGTGTCAAACTCAAGGCCTGGGGGACAAATGTGGACCGCCAAGTCATTTTGTATGGCCCACAGAAACTCAAAAAACATTTACTAAAGTCTATGCAGAAGTTTCTTTGAGTTTGACACCCTTGCTCTAGTGAATTTGTATCTGGAACTTACTTAGGTAAAAGTACCGACAATAAGGTCTTCTTCCATTTGGCCAAGCCTACGGCTAAGAGCAATTTCATTCTCAAACTTCCTGTTTGAAGAAGGCATCCCTTTCATTTGTGGATCGGAAGTTTGTTACTTATTATTTTTTTTCTATTTAAGCATCGATAATCCTGCCTCATTCCATTTTGATCCAGGTACCAGCCTTTCCTTGGAAGTTTTGCACAAAAGTCTGTCGGCTTTCATTCAGCCTTGCCAAATTCTTGCCACCTGAGCCAAACTCTGGACTACGTCTCAGCCCAATTTTCCTGACATTTTTAGGTTGCTCATTATTCATTCTCTAACAGCCTGCAACAAAACTTCTACCTCACGGCAATTTGGATATTCCCGGACAAAATGACTCAAATCCAAGCTAAGCTAAGCAAGTTACAAATTGTACCGTGACGGCGAGGATGCCAAGAGCCTGTCGTTCTAAGGACACGGAGCACCGTTCCTGGATGGTGTCGACAACATACGGTGACTGTACAGGTGTTGGTTTCACTCTCCACATCTTTATTCCTCACTGTCTGATCATGTTCCTGTTGTAAAGGATCTCTCAATGTGAAGACATGACAACACTCTGGCATCAGTGAGTGACGGCCGTGGGCCTATAGCCAGGGCGTTCTTCCCCTCTGGGTGTTTTTGGATGGTCTGCTGCAATTTGACAATTTTAGAGCTCAACAAGATCTTGGCGTGTGTGCACATATGTACACACAGACCCGAACACTCGCATACTTCAGCAGTCCTGTGTGAGTCGGGTCAACCTACAGGACCGTGCTCGCAGGGTCAAATCTGACAGATGATCAGACGGAGAATGTAGCCACCGGCGTGTTTATGGATGACTGTGTTTTGTTTACTCAAGTCTCGCCTCATCACTGGAGGGCAGCGAGCCACACATACAGGCACAATGAGGACACTGACGCGCTGTCAAAACCGTTACCGTTGATTACCCCGAAACTTCACCGGCTGTGAGTCACCAGTGACAAACTGGGAAATGGAGCCCGAGACGGACGAGCAGAAGATGAGCGTTGAGATTTGAGTCAGGACGAAGGAATGCTGCTGATTAACAACAGTATAAACCTTAGATAGAGCAACACACACACACACGTACGAGCCAGGTGCCCATCAGTAATCAGAGTTATCCAGCACGTCCCGGCATGTGATCTCTGTCCTCAGCATTCCTCGGCATAATGAGAGCGCTGTGCCAGTGAGTGTGTGTGTGTGTGTGTGTGTGTGATTAATATAATAGGCTAGCAACATTCAGACAACATGTACGAGATTAATAGTACTCATTTTACATGAGTATTTTACATGTCGTGGTTAAGACATCAATGTCAAAAAGTCATATTTGTTGGCATTGGTTTTACTCTTCTTGTGTTGACCAGTGGACGTCCTGCAGTCAATACACGATGTACCGTGTGGTGGAGAGTCTGATGAAAAAGGTGTAATGTTCTATGTTGTAGCTCAGGGTCGGGTTGAATATTTTTCTGGCTAGACTCTAATATCTGGGATCCAGTCGCTCTCCTGATTTCAGCCAACAATAATAGTAGTAGTAGTAGTTAGTAGAACAATGTTATATTTTCACTTTATTTCAGTTAAGTCAAAATGTTATGTTTTCACTTTATTTCAGTTAAGTCAAAATCTGGATTTTTTTTCTTTGACATTTGGTGCAGGAGGATTTTTTAAAAATATTTTCATTCAAAAATGTAAAACAATTAATTCAATCTAAAATTGGCAGAATTCCACTAAATGACACAATTCCCTGACAAATTGACAATTGCACCTGTGATTCATTACAGACAGTTTGTCTCAACGTCAAACACGTTCGAGAAATCCCCTTCCCTTCTGCCTGGCTTCCCTCCAGGTCATGTTGTATCGTCTTTGTGGTGATTTATCTCACGTCTCCCTCCAGGTCATGATCGTCTTTGTGGTGATTTATCTCACGTTTTCGACCACGAACACATCGACTCAGTGAACCACTACATCTAACATACATATATTTTTGGTACAAATGATATCAAAATGTCTCCTGATGTTTGAGCCACAAGTTTTGCAACAACCCAATTCCCCCCGAGCAGTTAGGGTGATAAAACCTTTGTTAGCGCTAATGCGTGCTACTGTATCTTACGTTTGCAGGAGTCGTGGGAAGTCTGGGGCACCTGGGGGTCTCTGTAGAAGCCAGCTTTGCATTTCTGACATTGACGTCCTTCGGTGTTGTGCAGACAGTCACAGACGCCTCCGCTCCGTTGGCCGGATTCATGCCACGCCGCCCAATCGAAATGGCAGCTCAGAGCATGCCCGTTGCATTTACACTCTGAAGGGAAAAAAAATTTAAACAGTCAATGCAGCTCAGTGGCAACTTGGAACTCGAACCTGCGACCTTATAGAGCCATGTTCACTTCATTAACCACCAGCTCACCACTGCCCACTAGTGTTTTGTCGGAAATTTTATTTTTTAGACTTTATGAGACATTTTTATGCATTTCTCCCCTGTGGAATCCACTGAAACTAACTCTGTTGCAACATAGATCATTTAACTAGTCCACAGGAATGTCAATTTTGTGAGAAACCACCATAAATTCTATTATTGGCTTGTGGATGTATCTGAAAGAATCCAAGGCCACCATGGGTGAGAAATCCCCAGACTAGACCCACAGCATCTGTTCAGAGTTCTTCAAGGATTTCAAGTTATTTCCAAATATTCTGAACTCGTAGGACTGATGGCTTCACTGATCTTCTCCACGCTTCAATCTCACTACATATTTGCGACAATGTCCCGGTTTTCTCGGGTTCAGAAAAAGTTTGTTCCTATTTGTTGAACTCACTCCGACATTCATGCGGCGCCCCCGTCAGGCCGTCAGCCGGCTGCCAGGGCCGGTCGTTGAAGAGCGGAGCGCAGCGCTCACAGTGATCACCTGCAGTGTTGTGTCTGCACACACACTTCCCATGGACCTGGGAGAGAGAGGGACAGAAAAAGAGAGAGAGAGAGAGAGGGAGTCTCATTAGTGACAGGAAGTGAGATGGACAAAAGTGCAAGGGTGGTTGGACAAAGTGGTCCATGTGATGGGACATCGTACGATGAGAACCAGTGAGGGACAAAGTGGTCCACGTGATGGGACATCGTACGATGAGAACCAGATTGGTGGAGGTGACGTGTCTTCATGTTCTTTTGGATTTTACAAATTCCTTTTTCGTGAAATTCCGTCTCTGCTCTTAACCCTCGTCTCCGTTACTTCAGATCTCCCCCTCGTTCCCTCTCATTCCCATCCTTCGTAGCTCGTAATTAGCAAATTGTTGAGCAATTAATTGTTTGGCTTCATGGCTGGACAGGACAACAGTCCTCCGGTCTGAACAGAGCGCAAGTATGCAGCACAATAACAATCTCCTAGTCATTCCTGTGAGTCGGAAT